TCAGTCAATGGCACATTAAGATCATCATCCGAATCATCATTCATCTCATCATCTACAAAACAATGATCAACTACAAATATTAATAAATGTAAATAATAAAATATAAGAAAGTAAAAAGTGTTGCTTGAAGTCTATATCCATTCCCCACATTTACATTTTTGGCCTATTATATGAAGCCCTTTATGATGCCTCTATGTTTTGCTGCAGACTGCAGTAGTTAAGGAACTGCAGGACCTGAAGGAGGTGGTTATGAAAGGTGAATTGGAAGGAGAGAACAAAAAGGAAAAATTTGATCCTGAGAAGCACATTGATGCTTACTTGCCTGTTCGAGTTAATGAGCAGAGAGTGAGCAATCTGTTGCAGTCTCTCTTAGTGGTGGCAGCAGTGTGCGCCATGCCTGCCATTAAGCAAATTCCTACATCAGTTCTTTGGGGTTATTTTGCTTACATGTCCATTGACAGTCTCCCAGGGAACCAATTCTGAGAAAGGATGCTACTACTATTCATTACACCTAGCCGGCAGCACAAGTGAGTATTCCTTCTTTTTGAGCATTCAATTTGAGAACACATAATTCAACTCGTTTTGGCACTATGAAACACAAATTAGTTGCTTACGATTGTCTTGTTTCTCCTGCGGCTTTGGTTCTTTCTCTGCAGGGTCCTGGAGTCGGCTCATGCATCGTTTGTGGAGTCAGTTCCATACAAATACATTATCATATTTACTCACTTCCAGCTTGGATATAGACTTCAAGCAACACTTTAATCAACTACAAGCCCTATATCCATCAATTAACACTACATATAACATGTCAAACTCTAATTTGATCACATATGCAGATAATATAATCAAAGTATATATATATCAAAAAGTAATGAATTATGTTATGCATGTGAAAATGTGTATCTCATGGAAATAAAAAGGGGCCACCGAATATTTAAAATGCAGTACTCAAGAACTCAATACAATTTCCACTCAAATTGCCTGAACTTCCAGCATTTTAAAACACCATGAAATCAATTTTCTCAAAGACATTCCAGCTGGGAGTATGCAAGTGTATTCAACCAACCAACCCTTAAATCAAATACATAACTCAAGCATCTCCCAAATGATGTCCAGCCGAGTACATGCAATTAAAGTATCCAACCAACATCACAATTTATTGAAACAACCAAATGCATGCAAGTTCAATTAGCAAGCAAATTACATTCCATTTTAAAACCCAAATTCAACATGCAGGAGCATAAACTAGCAAAATTTCATGCTTACAAAAAGATTCCAATAGCCAAACATAATTCAACCAACTTCCCACTATATCCTAGCCGAGTGTAAGCAAATAGGATGTCCAACAAAACATTGAATTAAAAACACTATTAAGTCATTTTCTAATATAACCTCCAGCAAGCTTAACAATTAAGAAGAAGAACCAACTCAAGCATTTTCTAATATCTTGTCTAGCCGAAAATATATTTATGCACACAAAAATTTCCAACAACATCACCAAGAGACAGAGTAGCCGAAAGCAATGGAACTAACATCCCACAACATCATGTTTAATATCAATTTCTTTGCACAACACATGAAAAGCAAATCAAAACTGTTGACGCTTGATTTTGGACGTCAACGACTCATACGTGAGAAGCGCTAAGCGGACTTAGGAATCACACGTGATGGATCTATGAGATTTGAATATGGAGTTGAGATTATATATTTTGCAGAAAAATAAATAAAAGATTGGCAAGAGGGGGTTTTTATAGTGGTTCGGATGCTCAACAAGCGACTCCTACATCCACTGTTATTTTATTGCTCACTGACTATTTCTATGATTTTGCTCGTAAGGCATACAAAGATGAAGAAATACAATGTTTACAGAGAGAGAATGAAATGAAGTTCAAATCTCAGTCCAACCCCTTTCTTCAGGAAGAGGAGTGCCCATGTATACACCTTTGCACTCAATGTAATGAATGTTTTGCAAGTTACCTTGACACATGGAAGACTCTCTTCCATTCATTTCTTGAAAGGAGATATAGTTGGTGAGAATATCTTTGGAGATATGGGTTTGGCAACTGGTACAAAAAGACATTAATTGTGCTGACATAGGCTTGACTTTTGAGGCATAACAAAAACTTTAACATGCAAGGATCATTAACATGCAAAGACATCAATCAACATTTTTAAGGAAAAACAGTTTTGGAAATATAAATTTCAGTGACTAGCAAATACACATAACCGATAATAATTGATTCTAGTATACATCCCTTATACATTTAAGTAAACCCCACTTGCAAAACCCATCAACCAGGGGAACCCAACACAAACACACTCAACGAAAACAACTCTACACAGATCTACGTACAGGGAAAGCTCAACCAGACAACAATATAAGTGTAAACAATGTTAATCTCACAAACAAAAATTAAAATACAAAATATTAACCATTCAAACAAAAAAGAAAATACAAAATCTGTCAAAAAAACAAAAACAAACACACAAAATTAGGGGTTAGGGATTCATTACCAGCCGACGAGGATGAGTGACGGCAACCGGCGACTGTGGTACTAGGAATGGGAATGAGTGATGACGACAAGTGATGAACTGACTATTAATCGAAGATGGAGACACCGAGACAGGGAGTTGGACTTTAGACGAAGAAGAATGATGAGAGATTGAGATGCGGCCGCGATAAAGTTACTGAGAATCTGAGAGTGAGAGATCAGAGATGAGATGAGAGTGAGAGATCAGAGATGAGATGAGACTGAGAGTGAGAGGCGTGACTGCGTGAATGGCTGAATGCGTGATAAAATTAAGGGTTACTGTTAGAGATTCAAATTCATTAGTGCAAATACGGGTGCCCGCGGGTTCACCCGTATAAACCGTGTGTATTTGGGTCGGGTACGGGTACGGGTCTCAAAAAACAGGTTTAATAAATTGGACCCGTACCCTATATTTTTTATCCGGGTACGGTCCAACCCGCGATTCCAGACCCGTTTTGCCAGGTCTAGAAATAGATAGAATGAGAGAACAATTTGAGATAATATTGTGAATCTTCCTCATTCAAAAGTAATACTATGTGAATGAATTTGGATATAAATAAATTTGATTTATGAGAGAAAGCCTATGTGGGAAAGGATCATATATATATATATATATATATATATGTGTGTGTGTGTGTTACTATTAGATTAGGCCTGAAGCTTGAATGATTGAATAATACAAATTATATATAATAATATATAACATTTTCAAGCTGCGTATGTCAACATGATAATAACTATGAAATTAGAAAATTAGAAAATTAATTAACAAATTGGAAAATGTATAATGTGCCAGTATATGTAAAGATATTATTAATTAAACTACAACATTTTCATGAAATTACAAGAAATGGATACAATGTTTTAAATTGTCTAATTTAAGAACACTTTCAATATTTAAGGTAGGTAATTAAGAGAGGAAGTATGTTAACGGATAACTAACATAAATTAATTCACAGCATTATGGACACACATACGTACTTATATACATACATAAAACTCTATATCGATGATTTCCTTCAAAATTCTTAAATACAAATATTAAAGTATCTTCCCTTTAACTTAAGTTTCTTATTTTGTGATATTATAGCAAATATCTAATATTTGAATCTCTTATCCGTATCATTTTCATCAATGTCAAATGAAGTTGATTTATCAAAAATTGTAGATATTTGTCTTCTAGAATTTACTAGGTAAATAGAAATCCAAATTTTAAAAAAAAAAAAAAAATTACAAATTTCTACAACGAAATATGGGGTCCTAACATTTTTGTCCTCAGCTTTGTGCAGGCCCCAACCTTCGGAAAGTGACAGTTTAGTCCCAAGAGCTAAAACACGTAAATGCTTTTTGAATTCAGTTGACAATTGCAGCATATATAGAAACTTGTACTGCCATATAATATCCTATATAGGTGGCCTTTAAGTGAATTTAAACTTTGTGGTCGCGTTGGACATAAAGAGTCTTTTACTAATCATCATACATAACAATGTTTAAATCTAACAAAGATTTCTTAAGAATAGAGTCATTGATAGAAACTCATAAACGGAAAATCAATTTGCACCGGCACTAGGTCTCGACATCAATTTGCATTGCGGAAGGCTCAACGTCCAATAGACAATTTACTCCCTTTATTCCTACGGAACGTAAGCAACAATACAATTTGTAAAGCCATGGAGAGAGAGAAAATTATAGAAAGCAGCTTATAGTGCAGAGCATTCTTATTACATGGGAAACTTCTTTGATGACAGTTCCATCCGAAAATATTACTGGCAATCACAAAGAAGTTGTTTTGCATCTCGACCCCCAACGGCCTGTGATCTACTCATTGCTAGCTGGATTTTTATTTTTTTTCTCTTTTTAATAAGGGAAAGTTAGAATGCCAGATATTAAAACATGGTAGCACATTGTTAGATTCAGATACTAATAAGGATGAAATAGATCTTTCACAAACATTAAGGTGAGAAAATTTCATTCTTCCCCTTTTGTTTTTGTTCCGAATCATACAATTCAACATTGATCTATTAATTTTGTAGGGCCTACATATATTATTTTACAATTATAATAAATTTATGTTAGATAAAAAATTAAGTTTCAATAAAAAAGTTTAACAACATACAACAAGGGATGTGTAGAGAATAAATTAAAATATAATTTGAAATTTTAACAAATCTAAGTACAAACCAACAGAAATTAATGGCCACCAGCAATGGTGTAGCTAGCTTTTTAATTCAGAAAAATAAACTCACTTCAATTTTGATCAGTGATTAAAAAAATAAAAAATAAAAAAATACATGAAACACTTAACACATATCACTATCTCCACCTATAAGGAAAAATTTCGATACTTTCTAAAAGATAATGAATATCGATTGCTAACTGAATTAAATGATTTTTTCGAGTTAATGAACGCTATCCAATTTGTAAATATTAATACTTAAAAGCTAAGAAAAGCATAATAAAGATCCCAAATCAGGAATTATATGCTTGAATTATAGAGATTGGAACTTTTATACATCTATATCCAAACCTTACAACCTGCATATTCTATGACCGTTACCAATATGACATTTCATGCCACAAAGATCACAACCTAAATTACAAAATATTACAAAAATTCTATCAATCACTGCTCATACTTCCCATATCCAGAAATTCCAAAAGACATTCCAAATAAGCTAGTTGCAGACAAGATATTACAAGAACAAGAAATATAGTGAACTTTTTTCTCTTTACATCCAGTACGATGGCCATCAAATTCATCATCTAATGTTATTGGTATACGAGGATAACTTCATAACATTAAAAGTCCTACCATAGCTTGGAGGATAAGAATCAATAAGTTAATTAGTTACATGGATTTTAGTGGGCAGAAGTAGCAGTATTATACACTCAGTTTCAGCGAGCAAATAAATTTCTCACCTTCCCACTGCTATCATGTCACTGAATCGAGCGACATTGACTTGGAGAGAGCAACGGATCAACTCCAGGGCTATCATCAGTTGCATTTTTACATTGGCTCTTCTTTCTGCTGTAACTCCTTGTAGAAGAGGATGTGACAATATCTTTGTTCAAAACGCTATTTGTTGTGTCCTTAAAAACCCCAATCAGTCAAACAACTTGGCTTTGAAGTAACAGTTTCCAGATCGATCTCTCCAGCAAGCATGTTAATGACATGTGACATTAGTGGGACTGCACAATAGGCAACTCCAATTATTCGTAGAGCTTTGATTTCACTGAACTCTGCTAAATTGGGATCCATCAGCCCCGAACTTTGGTTACTTTCATGAAGACTCCAGGCCTAAAAATACAATATAGACCATTCAAAAAGCATTAGTTTTTGCATTAAGGTACATTGGAGAAAGAAAACAAAACAAGTAAAAATTCAAGTTTATTCTCTTTACCCATTCAAGAAGATAAATTTTTTCCCTATCCAAGCTAGTATCAGAGTTTGGTCTTCCACTCATAATCTCCAAAGCAACAACACCAAAACTGAATACATCAGCCATTTTTGTCAAGTGTCCACGCATTGCATACTCCAATGCCAAATAGCCACTCCAAGAAAATGAAGGGTTTCTGATACACCTCCTATAACCAAAGTGTACAAAAAGAAGAAGAAAAAGGGGAACCTGGTCATTTCAGTGGACAAGGGCAGCAAGGGGAATTCAGATTAGAATTAGTTAAGGGGTATCTCCACGTAAGGGAGTGTGGAAAGTGTGAATTCAGTTATATATAAAGAGAGCAGTAGCTAGCTGTAGGGGAGGGAAAACCAGGGAAATGTTGGGAGGTGCTAGACCCTCGAAGTGCTAGCGATCTTTTTATCTTTGCTATCGCGTTGTTATCATTTTTGCCATTGTTGTTATCACCTGCTGCTTGCAGAGTTCATTTATTTTAATCCTCTATATATATAAATCAGTGACAGAGTGTGTTTCTGAGTTTTTATTACAGTTTATTATTGTGTTTTGGACTGGTGTTCTCATCAGTTTCTCAAGGTTAAAATCCAAAAATAAAGTTTGGATATACAGATTGCTCTCACGGTCATTCTTATCAATATTTGTATGTTGAGTGTTTGAAATACTCACAACAAAATCTACTAGATATTTTGAAATACTCAGCAGCACATTCTAAAATGGAGTATTAAGGAAGAATGGTAGTCAAGGAATGATTGAAGCAGCTTACCTGGTCCCTGCAACTCCGGTGCTGATGTGAGTTTTAGTGTCATCATACAGCTTTGCCAATCCGAAATCTGATATCTTTTGGCAGAGTTTTGCATCAAGTAAAATATTACTTGTTTTGACATCTCGATGTATGATCTTTGGCCTAGAATCCTCGTGAAGATATGCTAGACCTCTTGCAGTTCCCAAGCATATTTTGAACCAGGTAGGCCAATCAAGATGCCTCTCCCTTCTTCCTGCATAAACATAGCTGCAATCATTAAGATCTTCCAATTAGCAATTAGCATCTTCATACAACAATACTTGATCATCAATTAGCATTGCAAGAAAAGCAAAGTAGAAAATTTTAAACTAAGGTTGATCATCAATTAGCATCTTCATACCAAACAATACTTGATGAAGACTTTTGTTTTGAAGATAGTCATAAACAAGGAGGAGCCTAGTTCGCTCGATGCAGCAACCATCTAATTTCACAAGATTGCGATGTTGCAATGCAATTATGGTAACAATCTCATTGACAAACTTATTTTTCCCTTGGCGGGATCCTAGTGAAAGTTGCTTCACAGCTATTACCCTTCCATCAGAAAGTGTAACCTTTAGCACCAGATTTATTAACATAAATCATAGCTGCTCCATCCTTAGTGAGTATCCAAAAGCTAAAATTCACCTATTTTTCCTGTTATACAACATTTCAACCCAAGTTCCCAGTCTACTATTTATCGTTTGTAACTTGTAAATGTAAGATATAAAAGTTACCTATTACACAGGTCCAAATCCTCCCTGGCCAAGCTTATTTGGACGGTCGAAGTCTTCTGTTGCAGACATCAACTCAGCATAACTGAAAATTTTTAGTTTAGGTCCTATTCCAAGTAGCACTGCATATGGAAGCAAGATAAAAGAATACATAACGTTGAGGATTTACATGACAAGAGATGAATTACAACAGAAGCTTTGCCTATTTCATGGAATATGCTATTCCTAGTTTTGAAATTAGATATCAGAAGGCCATATTTTGTATCTGTTATAAGGACAAGATATTATGGCTCCGTTTGGTTCAAAATTTGAGGGTTTTGGGAAAAGTTTTTTGAAAAAAGTTAAAAAAAAATTGAATTGGGCGGGTATTACGATGTAAGATTTATAAATTAATAAAATACCCTATATATTTATTTTTTTACAAAATACCCCCTATAATAAAACATTAAAAGTTAACAAAAATACTCCTAACCCACCCTCAAACACCCCCAGTCGGCCACCACCACCGGAGGTGACCGAAGTCACCTTATGGGCGCATGACCGGCTGGATCTTGCCGGTCATGCGCCAATATGGCCTTTTCCGGCCAGATCTACGGCCAGATCTGGCCGTCAACCGCCAGATCTGGCCGTATTTGCTCTCAACGACGATCAACGACGACCGTTTGTTGGCCGTCGTGACCGACTGTTACGGCCAAAGATCTGGCCTTTTCAGCCCAGATCCACCGTTGATCTGGCCGGAAAAGGCTAGATCGGCACACTACCGGCCAGATTCAGCCGGTAGTGCGCCATCCTACCAGATTCCGGCCATTTTCCGGTGGTGGTGGCCGGAATCTGGTAAATGTGGATTATTGGGGTGTTTTTGTAATTTAAAAAAAAATATTTAGGGTATTTAATTAAATTATCAAATTTAAGGGGTTTAAAAAAAGTTGAATAATATTGGGAGTAGTATTCCCAAAAATCTGAGTTTTTGGGTATTTTACTGTTTAACTTTTTTGGGAATACTAAAAGTAGTATTCCCAAAACTGAAACAAACGCAGCCTATATATCTGTTATTTATGTTTCTTCGGTGCACCGAAACAACATTCACATTTATGCTACACCTATATTCTGGAATGCTGAAGTAAAATGCAAATTCATTAATTTTCAAAAACAAACTTGGTTTCAGAGATTTTACAACTTCTATTTTCTAAAAAATCTCTTTGGCACTCTTACCTTCTGCATCATCATTATCTCTTTTTATCCTCATGTGACGAATTAAAAAATATCAGTATCAAACCCAAACTTCCAAGAGCCACAGCAATACCAACAATCAACCCACTCTTCTTCTTCTTTCGTCCAATACCAACAGTTGGTGTGAAATCTGAGTAGCAAAAATCAGTATGTCAATTAGCAGGCATTTAAGCACAGTTATTGTAACTCATCTTATACGAAGATTCAAAAGAATCTCATAGTTTACCTGGAATGACACTTAAGAGCTGAAACTAATGGCCCATAGTTACCTCAGTCAGCTATGCAACAGGTCCCTTTACCAGCCGAAAATAGGTGAATTTCAAGATAGTTATCAGACAGATTAGCATTAAATTTGTTCGTAATTGCTTTTCTTTCCCCACCTGCTCCGGTTGATATGTCAAAATCTTTTAACTGGAGAGTCCTACAGGATCAATTAGGAAAGAAAACAGATGAAAATGTAATAGTCAAAACTATATATAATAAGGGTATGAACCAAAACTTTCCAGTGAATGTTTACCTGAATATAGATATCAAAAACACGCCTTCCAAGACTCATCCACTTTTGTCAGCCTTGATCACCAAAAACTGTCTCAGCAAAGGACAAACTTACATTGTGAAGTCCACTCTTCAGACTAAGTCCACAGAATCTAAGAGATCCCGAGGATTGCCTAGAAGACTGATAAAGCTTCGGGCCTGTGGTGCCAGTCACTTGCGAGCTAGTATTTTGAACATTGAGTGTTAAATTGTCCATCAGAAAACAAACCCGCATCACTAATTGCCAATTTTTCGGTATCAAGTACAATACAAGAAGCTCCACCAAGATCATAGCTACCGGCCTCACAAACTATAATATCAACTTTCATCTCTTCACTGCCACAATTGAATCTGCAGTTGCAAAAATACACTATGCTATCAATTTGGTCTAGTTACCCCAACTGGAGCTGAATTAACAAACAATTTATAAAGCCACAGTAGCATCTATATTTAAGCAAAATAATGCAGGGAGAAAGGTAAATTGTTAGTACACTTTTTAGAAAAATAATTATACATCAGAAAGAAAGACGCCCAAATACAAAGTACTCAAATCTAGAATCGATAGAGGGAAGCTTTCAATAAATTTACAAGTGAGTAAGAGAATTGACACTGAATAAAGCACTTGGGATTTGAATAATTAAGTTGTTGAAACTCAAATCCCTGCAGAAGTAAGAAAAGAAGTAATTAAAAAAAAAAGAAAAAAAAAAGCGCACACACATAAACGATAAGAGACACACTCATAGCATTACAATACTAACTTACAGTGTCTGTAAACTTGGAGACAAGGGTTGTGTTGATAGGCAAGATGATTACTGCAAACTGAGCTTGAAGATCTTAACAAGAAGCGAAATTAAACAATCAGATATTCTTTCAAAATCTGACTTCTCTACTTTCCCTTTGATTTTCAAAGTGAAGCAGAACGGCAGATTAAGAATATGGGTAATTTTGGAATTGATATAATACATATTATAGATTAATTTTCTAATAAATTTAATTAATAATGGAGCTTATAAAAATGTTTACTAGGGTTTAAACACCACCAGTCAATAAAGAAAATTTTCAAATTAACCCATATCAATCCAAATAGATCATCAAATTATCAGATGAAATGGCGTTGCGAAGAAACACTCCATTGATCATGTTTTAAGAGGTATTTATGATTTTTACGTTTTGGCTTTAGGTTTAAGAATTAAGAATCAGATGCACAATTGATTTAGGCATAAGTTGATTCTTGTTTTTTAGCCTCTATCTACTTGGGGCTTTTTGTAGAGATATCTATTTTACCAATGGGCTAGTGGATTACAAGAATGCTAAATACACACCATCTCTGAAAGATGGTGTGTATTTAACGAAAGATGAAGAAGAAGATGAATCAATTTGAGCAGTTGACTTTTGGTCATACTTAGTGATTCACTATATACGTAATTGCAAAATCTAACAAATTTTTTTTTGATGTAATAGCAACAAAATTTCTAAGGTTTTTGAAACAACAAAACTCCCCATGCCATTGAAAGTTGTTAAAATTTATACTATTATGACTATGAGTTAATAGATATTTACTCCCTCCAACGTTTATTATAACACTTACAACTTAATGTTAAGAATTTTTATTATTTAATCAAATCTCGGGATTAGTATCATTAACTTCTGACTATTATCACATTTTCACAAAATAAATAAATATTTCACTTAAAAAGTATACATTCTCTCCAATTAAAATAGGCATAATTTCATCTTTACAAGATTTATGTAATCAGGAATCATGATGAATTATTAAATTGGATATTCCTTTTTTTTTTTTTTCTCATTAAAACCCGAGCCCAATTTGAGCATTGACGCCAAAATCCAAAAACATAATAAGATTAGAATAATTACTAGTTTTAGTCAACAACTAACTGATAATTAATAACATAATTTTCTATTTAACTAACTAATTACATGTTGGCAACATGCTTGAAACCCTCCCTAGGTATAAAATACCAAACCAATCATTACCAAAAGAAAAGAGAACAAAATAATGAAAACGGAGAAAGTTTGCCAATCTTACAGAAAAGTTAAGTTCTTAAGGTTTCCAAGCTCCTTTGGGAGAGGCCCAGAAAGCAGAAAGTACATTGTGGCCAACCTCTCTAGCATATGAAGAAAAAGTTATAACAAAATCAAAACTCATGTACCAAAAATAATCATAGATAATCTAAACTAGGCTTTCAATCATAAGGGTATTTTTCAATACTTACAAATACTTCAATTGAGATAAATTTCCAATAAATGCAGGGAAGGAACCAGTGAAGTAATTTAGTTTGATTCTACTGCAATGTTAAACAGAAAAACTAAATCAAATATGATATAATGTCCATTAATTAGAAACGATGAAGGTCAAATTTGACTTATACAAATCAAACACAGGGAAATGAATGGGAAAATCCATACAAATTTGTCAGAAATTGCAAAGCCACTAGTTCTTCTGGAATCGCTCCTTTTATGTCCATAGCAAATACACTCCTGCAAAAAATAAAGACAAGTTTCAATTATATCTCCTCAAATCTAATCTGATTACAGATGCAAACTTTCTTGTCTTAGGAAAAATACACACTTGAAGGATAAATTGTATACACAACTTTAAAGAAAGTTTTAACCAAAAGTTAAGATCCATCTAAAGAATCAGAAATAATCTACAAAGTATAGCATAAACAGTTCAATTAAAAGTCATGAATAACTCAAAAATCAATGCCAATACCACAAGATTAACCCAAAACCCATTCTCAATCTAAGTGCATATAATCTGTCTATACTTAAACAAAACTTGAAAAATATGAAAATTCCCCTAAATTTGGGAGAGAGAAAAAGAGATTACAGCTCAGTGATGTGGCAAGTTGAGCCATTTTCAAAGGAACAGTCACATTTGATAGCAGGATTATAGTCCTCCAAGCTAGTTGCATTTATAACGGCTCCACTGCAGGGCTCTCCACTTATGTTCCACCATCTTGGAACTGCTTGTACATCCCATTGTTGAAATATTGAGTTCAACGCTCTCACTGCTCACCACAACAAACCAACTAACGCAAATTTCCATAACAAGCTTATAGAAATCACAGATTTTCATAAAATCAATGATCTTTGAGGCCATGGATATATCAGGAAGCATTCAAATTACTTAGAATTGAGAATTTACCATCTGGGTTTATCATAGTTGAAGTAAAAGGTTAATAACAATAATCCCACGTAGTTATATTTAATTAATAAAAATTCCCCTAGAGTTGTAGCAATACCTAAATTCTCTTGTGGTTAAGTTTATGGGTTAAAAAATGATAGAGGATAATTAAGTAAATATTTATTAATCATCGTAATATAAATTTTAATGGCATATTAACAGTTCATAAAAGTAAAAAATTCATTATTATTTCTGAAATTTTGTTATTTTATTAAACCTTTGGGAGTTAAGAAAAACCCAAGTAAGATTTTATTTTATTTTTGAATAATAATTATTAGGGTCATTTTCCAACCTTCCTTGAGGTTTGAGTTTTAGTCACCCAAACCCCTGTTGGTTTAAATATTATTCTACATAGCCCCTCACATCTCAAAATATATCTCAGACCTCCCCTTAGAAAGATATAGCTGTTTGTTAGCAGAATTTTTTAACAAGGAAGACTAAATTTCATAATCACCTTTGAGTATACACAACTTAATTCATACCAACAAATACTCCCATACACCTAGACCTGGGAAACAGGTGAGGCGGGGCGGATACAGGTCAAACGGGCCGAGAATGTTAACCGGCAATGAAGTATAAAAATAAAACCCAAGGAAGATTTTACTTTAAATTTTGAATAATAATTATTTAGGGTCATTTTCCAACCTTCCCTGAGGTTTGAGTTTTAGTCAGTCACACTCCAGTTGGTTTAAAATATTATTCTAAATATCCCCTCACATCTCTAAATGTATCTCAGACCTCCCCTTAGAAAGTTAGAGCCAATTGTTTGCGGAATTTTTTAACAAGACTAAATTTCATAATCACCCTTGAGTATACACAACTTAATTCATACCAACAAACACTCCCATACACCTAGACCTAGCGAACAGGGGGGTTGGGTCAAAACAGGTACGGGTAATGAAATATAAAACCAATACCCGGTCATGCAGGTACGAGTTGACCCGTGGATCACCCATTTTCCCCAAATCTGCCGTTGTTTCTAGTCTGTTTTCACTTTTCAATTTTCATGCACAACATTATCAATTTCACCAAACATACTGAACAACTAAACCCAATACAATTTCATCATCGATTCCACCAAACTTCAAACATACTGAACAACTAAACTCAATACAATTCAATACAATTTCATCATCTACATTTAACAAACATACTAAACAAACCTCATAAGGATTACTTCAACAAAGGATTCTCATATCAAAAATGATAAACCCCGACAAAAAAAAAAAAAAAAAAAAAAATTAGTAACCTTACAATAAAATATAAACAAATTTCTTTAAAAAAAGGGTCTTCCAGTTTTATCAAAATGTATCTCTGCCAGTTTTATCAATTAGTAATATCCCTGCCAGTTTTGACAACAAACACTTGTGCTCACTAGGGAATTTCGTTGAACAAACTATAGGCAAACCCCATTGACTCTTTCAAGCCTTTTTATAGATATAAAAGTACGCATATGTAATAAAGATAAAACCAAGCAAGCACAGGACGTAAGCAACTGACATAAAAAGGACAAAGAGAAACAAGAGAAGGGATCATTTCCTTTTCCTGTACATTTCTCCATTAACTAATAGCTACTTCTAAAAGAGACAGTAAACAATTCCAAAAAAATCTCAATTGCAAAATATAAAACAACCTGGACGGCTAGACTTGAGTTGAGAGGAGGACAGGCTAGATCGGAGTTCAGGGAATGATCGACGACGAGTGACACCGGTGACAGTGACAGTCTGACAGTTAGACAGTGAGAGAGGAGAGGGCGTGCAACAGGAGCTTAATATGAGAAATTGAGAATGAAATGAAATGAGATCGACGATAACCCCTTAGCGATTTTTTTTTTTTTTTTAGATTTTCATGGGTACCCGGCTACCCGTCGGGTTCGGTACTGTTCACACAGGTTCTAAACATATATTAACCCAAACGTGTCAGAATTATTCGGGTATGAGTAGATCCGCCGTACCCGTTTTACCAGGTTTTCATACCATAATTATCAAATCAGTATGTATCAGGTATCCAAAATTTAATTTTTTTAATCGTATATCACATATCGTAGTAAGAGACGTCTTAAAAAAATAATAATAATAAAAAATTTCTAAAAATTAATATTATTCTCAAGATTAATTAACACATTTTTTTGATATTATTAGCTTTAAATTATGGTATTATATAATTAAAATAAATCACAAAACTAAGAGTCTATATTATTTCTCCTCAACCATTCATATCATTTCCAAGATCAATGTCAATATCTATATCTCCACTTATGTTATTATTACCATGCAAAATGGGCAACACATCATCCTCTTCATTTTCTCTATGTAAAATAGGTAAGTTTGGGCTAGTTTTTGTGAACCGGGTTGGGTGACCCAAATCTGACCTGAAATTTTTTGGGGCCTTTGGTCAAATTAATAAAGTTGTATTGATTTGTATTGATATTTTAACAAATACAAACTGATATGTATTGTATCATTAGATACATATCAGCGTATTAAAAAGTGTAGAATATATTCTCTTATACGTATTGTTAGAAACTCGTATGGAATTATATTATAGAATAATTAAGAATGAGTTTGGGATTATTGCAGCTTAAGAAATGATTTCTTAAATATCTCAACTAAAAGTGTTTAGTAAATCAATTTTAAAAGTTGGATTTTTATATTAATTATAAAAAAGAACACCCTATAAACAAATTTATAATCTAATTTATTTATAAATTATTTTTTAATTAAATTAATAAATATAATTAAAAAAATAAAAATTAGAAAATCCGAAAAGTGGTGGACGAATTCCCCCGCTGGTGCCAACAATGTTGCAAATCCACAAAAATGAATTCATAACAAAATAGAAGATATTTTGCTAAATGGGTTCACTTCAATCTGAAAGCTAGCTACTCATAAATTACTAAAGTTGAATATTTCTTAAACAATAATTAAAACAAATAATTAATTTAAAAAGAAATAAAATACACACATAGAAGAAAGGGAGAGAGAAAGTACCTTCATTAAGGTGAGTAGAAAATGAAGAAAATTTTAAGGTACCCAACAATCTAAAAACCAAATGAAATTGTACCTGAAAAACGTGAAGCCAATATCCAACATCAATGCTTAATACATAGAAGAAGTAAAACATATAATTCCTCTTTATAGAAATGCAAGCAAGCTTGAAACTAATCACAGATTTTCATAAAATCAATGATCTTTGAGGCCTTGGGTATATCAAGAAGCATTCAAATTACTTAGAATTGAGAATTCACCATCTAGGTTTTATCATAGTTGAAGTAAAAGGTTAATAACAATATTCCCCCTTAGTTATATTTAGATAATAGTAATATGGAAATTATCTTGTGGTGTAGTTTTTTATTTTGAAAGAAACTAGAGAGAGATAATGAGGTAAATATTTATTAATTATCATATTATATATTTTAACGGCATATTAACGGCTCATAATAGTGAAAAAATTCATATTATTTCTGAAATCTTAACAGAGATTTTGTTATTTGACTAAACCTTAGGGGTTGACACAAAACCCAAGTAAAATGGTTTCAACTGTGATTTTGAGTTTTTATAGACATATTATGCAATGCAATGCATCATATGATACTTTTTTTTTTTTTTTTTTTTTTAATCTTAGGACTTCCATTTTTTTATAGGTCAAAGAGTGTTTACGTTAACCAGTTTCAGAATGAAAACAATATGATCATCATACAATCATCCCACCAAAAACTATACGCCATTGATGTAGGATAGAATTAAAAACAGAGAACAATAGAAAAAATTGAAACAAGGAGAAACTAAAGAAAAACAATTTATTCATCATATTGTTTCTTTCATCAGTTGCATAACAAAGACAAGACAACAAGCCTATTTATAATGGCCTAAACAAAAAAAAAAAAAAAAAAAAAGCTAAAAATCTACCTGTAACAATTCATTCAACTTTTAGTCAAAGTGGAAAATCTAATATATAAAATCTAAATCTAACTTAAAAAAGTAATGTCTCCAAGTTTCCAAAATAAAATATTTCCTTAAGTAACAATATTATTTATATTCTTGATTCAGCATCAGCCACTCTAAGCAATGGCATAGAAGAAAAGAGAACAAAATTTAAGAAAAAGAAGAAAGTTTGCCAATCTTACAGAAAATTTAAGTTCTTTAGGTTTCTAAGCTCCTTTGGGAGAGGCCCATAAAGTACATTGTGTCCAACCTCTCTAGCACATGAAAGAAAAAGTTCTAACAAAATCAAAACTCATCTACCAAAAATAATCATATATAATCTAACCTAGGTTTTCAATACTTACAAATATTTCAATTGAGATAAATTTCCAATAAATGTAGGCAAGGGACCAGTGAAGTAATTTCGTTTGATTCTACTTCAATGTTAAACAGAAAAACTAAATCAAATCTGATATAATGTCCATTAATTAGAAACGATGAAGGTCAAATTTGACTTATACAAATCAAACGCAGGGAAATGAATGGGAAAATCCATACAAATTTGCAGAGCCACTAGTTCTTCTGGAATCACTCCTTTTATGTCCATAGCAAATACACTCCTGCAAAAAATAAAGACAAGTTTCAATCATATCTCCTCAAATTTGATTTGATTAGAAATGCAAACTCTCTTGCCTTAGGAAAAATACATGAAGGATAAATTGTATACACAACTTTAGGGAAAGTTTTAACCAAAAGTTAAAGATCCATCTAAAACATCAGAAATAATCTACACAGCATAGCAAAAACAGTTCAACAAAAAATTATGAATAACTAAAAAATCAATGCCAATAACACAAAATTAACCAAAAACCCATTCTTGATCTAAGTAAATATAATTTGTCTATAGTTAAACAAAACCTAAAACAAGTTAATATGAAAATTTCCCTAAATTTGGTAGAGAGAAAAAGAGATTACAGCTCAGTGATGCGGCAAGTTGAGCCATTTTCATGGGAATAGTCACATTGGATATGAACGAAATAGAGAAGCAACAGGAACAAAATAATAATAGTTAAACAAAATAATAATAGTTAAACAAAACAAAATTAAACAAAGAAAGTATTACGCGCGATTTACCCTGGTTCACCCAATGTAGGCTACGTCCAGCTGAGTCAATATTATTGCAATATGCCTCACTTCTCTCGTTTACAATGAATGAATTGTTCTCACACGCATAACAAGAGAAAAGTATGTTTATATACTAGGTTTAAGGGATTAAACCTAGTTTTACAAGAATTCCTATTCCTAAGCCCAACCCAAAAAGGAATTAATAACTTAAAAGGAATCCTACAGCGGTTATACATGGAAAAGCCCAAAACCGCCTACGGGCTCGGGGGCGCTGCCCCCGCGACCCCCGCCCGCTCACCGGGGAGCGGGGCACCCGCCCGCTGACCGGGCAGCGGGACCCCCGAGTGCGTCTCCGTTACCCATTAATGCTGAAGTAGTCGACAACTCCAACAGGATAGCAGGATTATAGTTCTCCAAGCTAGTTGCCTTTATAGCGGCTCCACTGCAGGGCTCTCCACTTATGTTCCTATCATGGGTCTACTTGTACATCTCATTGTTGCAATATCGAGTTCAATGCCCTCACTGCTCATCACAACAAACCAACCTATACAAATTTCCATAACAAGCTTATAGAAATGCAAGCAAGCTTGCAAGTAATCACACATTTTTATAAAATCAATGATTTGGATTTATCATAGTTGAAGTAAAAAGATCCCAACGCCAATCTCCATCACGGAAGGCTCAACTTCTACTAGTTAATTTTCTCCATTTATTCCTACCAGAGCATAAGTAAGAATACAATTTATAAAGCCATAGATAGATGAAAAATAAAAGAAAAAGAATTAAACAACTGAAAGAAAGCAGCAACCGGAACGTTCTTATTACAAAGGAAGTTTCTGTGAAGAATGTATGTTCAATTTGAGGAAATTACTGACAATCACAAAGTTGTTGCTGTGTATCACAACTACGAACACCATGTAATCTACTCATCGGCCGACTGGAAATTCAACAACTATTTTCTTTTCTTTTTAATAAGAAAAGTTAAAATCCCAAATATTAAAACTAGGGCTGGGTTTCCCGCTTCCACCAAAGGATTCCCCAAGCCCTAGCCTAGCCCCACATTTTGCCATCCCTAACAACAAAAGCCATTATACTAGAACTTATAGATAGGGACAAAGATAGATTTATCCATAATGTCTAATTAGCCAAATCTAGAGATGATGTCGTCGAGGATGAAGAAAAAAGAAACAGTGATAATTGAACCCTAAACAGAAATTAAATATGAAACTTTATGGGTATAAACTTATAGTGTACTTAATTATGCATATTCACTAGACAACTAAAACATAAATATATAACTCTGTACAGTGATAAAAGTTGAATTATAATTGTAAACACAAGATTTTGAATCAAACTAGAAGAGTATATACTTTACTGAGTGCCCTATTTGCCTGAATCTCCATGAGTCCTATAGTATATGTTTAAAAAACGGATGAGGTTAATTAAGGTGAGTAGAAAATTAAGAAAACATTTAAGGTACCCAACAATCTTGAAAATTGTACAATCTAAAAATCAAATGAATTGCACCTGAAAAGCGTGAAGCCAATATAGAACATTAATGCTTGATACATAGAAGAAGTATAATTCCTCCTGTCAATTGATAGAATTAGGGTTCAAAATTAGGTTATTTCAATAAAAATCGAAGATTAATTTATTAGATTGAAAACCCTCCTGCTTGACTTTCATTTGATTCAAGTTTCTCTTGCATACATATAAAACAATAAAGCTAACAAAAGGAAGGAGAAACAAAGAATCATTAGTTCAAGTGTTTTCGAATTCAGATATAATGATAAACCAATCAAATTGTTAATTCAAGTTTTAACTTCAACCAAATAAGTGTTTTATGAATATTTACTTACTAACTGATGAAGAAGAGGAGAGACTGATAAGTCATACCTAATTTTCTGTCGATTTGATGATCTTGTCGTCGAGATCAATGTACGGAATATGAGCAATCTTGAACCAATCTTCACCTGTTTCTTGTTTGCATCTTTCGCTCAATTTAGGACAACCTCTAATTGTAAGTTCTCTCAAAGCGATGAGACGATCCATATCCTTGGGTAAAGATGACAATTCTAGACAATTCACAACACCAAGAGCCTGAAGTTTCTCCATCGACTCTGGTAGTGCTTTCAAGTTGGAACAATTTAGAATCTCCAAACTCTCCAAAGTGTTAGTGGAACACTGAATAAGCCATTGCGGGAATTCCACCAATTGTGGTAATTCTTTAATACGAAGATATCGGAGGTGAGGCCATGTGTTACTGAGTTCATCATGATTTTCTTGCTTATTCGATCCTATGCTCAAATTAAGATCAAGCCTTTCACAAGTGCGCAAACGAAGATGTTCTAATGATCTTAGTTTTCTCACACCATGTGGTAATGATATAAGTCTTGGACATTCATAAATCCATAGCCTTCGAAGACCTTGAAGGCAACCAATATCTTCAAACAAATATTCTAAATTATTGCAATTGGAAATCCACAACTACGAAGAGAATTCAAGCAACCAATACCATTGGTTGGTAGATGCTTTTGTATCGTAGTTAACTGGAGATATCTAAGACTAATTAAGTACTTTACATCTCTTGTTAACGCTTTTAATTCCTCACATTCCATTAGTGATAGATATTCCAAATTTTGTAGCTTGTAAATGGAACTTGGGATTTCTTTTATTTTAGGGTTGTATCCTAGTTCAAGATACCTCAAATGCTTCAAATTACCAATTTTTTTAGGCACTACTTCAATATTTGAAGAACGTAAATCTAACATCCGCAAGAATTTGAATCTTGAGACGATAAATTCTAGAAATGATTGGCTAACACCAGTACTTCCACCAATAAATTGAAAAAAACTAATGCTTCTCAGATGGCCAAAGTTAGGTAAAAAGATTGGAACATCTATTTTAGGTGCATCAACAAAATGGAATGATAAGTGTCGATAACTTTTGGTACAAATTTGGTTAGTCGATTTCACTATTAAGCACTCATTTCCCATCAATGATGTGGCAAGATCATGCATGAGATCATGAATTTTAAACCAATAGAAATTCTCATAAGCTTGAACAATATCTTGGAAAAAAGATCTTGAACAATATCTTGGAAAAAAGATCTCGACATTAATTCTTTTATATATTGCATACCAATATTTTCCAAATCCTGATTTTCATTGTGGGATTGAAGAAGCCCATGGGCCATCCAAAACTGAACCAAATAAATACTATAAAATTCAAAGTCTTTTGGAAAGATAGAACAATACACAAAACACTGCTTCAAGTGAGGTGGCAGATGATTATAACTTATTCTTAGAGCATTTAAAATCTTATTTTCATTTTGATCCAACTCCCAAATCTCATTATCCCTCAATTTTTTCCAATCTTGTTCAGAAGTTGAGGAATAAAGTAAACTTCCTAACGCTTTTACTGCCAATGGAACACCTCCACATTTTTTTACAATTTCTATTCCAATTTCCATAAGGTTGGGATATTGTTTTTCTTGCCCTTCTTTAAATGCAAATTTAACAAACACCATCAAGCATTCATCAAGAGAAAGACCTTCTAACTTGTATGTAGGCATAGTGCCCATAATTGAGGCAGCACGATCACTACGTGTAGTTACGATAATTTTACTTCCACTAACACATTCTATCAATAATTTTTTTAATTCAAACCACATCTCATAATCTTCATTCCAAACATCATCCAAAACTAACAAATATTTTTTATGGCTTAAGATATCACGTAGAATTCTTTGCAATTGGTCTATATTCTCATCAATATTTTTTTGCCCAGTTGCAGATTGGATGATGCCAATTAATAGTTTTTTCAAAACAAACTCATCTGACACACATACCCACATTTTCAACGTAAAATATTCGTTCACCAGTTTATCATTATACACCAATTTGGCAAGCGTAGTTTTTCCTAGACCTCCTATCCCAACAATAGGAATGACGGAAACATTTTCATGGCCATCACTAGGACGTAACAGTAGTTTCATTATCTTGTTTTTATCTTTATCCCTACCAATAACATCTGAAGCATGCACAAATGAGTGAGTTTCCCTCTCCCAACCTATAACATGATTGCTATCAACTTTCTCAACGAGATTAAAACTATCCTTATGAGCTGCTATTTTTGCTAACCTCTTTTTAATCTCCTTAATTTCATGCCCCAAAATAAAACGGAAAGCAACTGGATTTGAGGATGAAAAGAAGTAGCATACCTTTCTTGTAATGCCTTGATGATTCACAACTTGCTTGCGCAAATCTTCCACCTCAATCTCGTCTAAAACATCTTCAGCATCGTAGCAGATCTCCTTAAACTTTCCCAGCCAAACTTTTAGCTTCTTATTATGGATTTGTTTGTCCTCAGCATCTAAGAGAACAACTTTGATAGTGGTTAAGGTGTCAGCAAGCTCTTGTGCATCATTTTTGACACCCCATGCCAAGCACATTTCGTTGGAAGCAAGGTATATCAGCTTACCCAAGACTTGCTCAGCAATAGCAAAGACGATAGTTTCTGCCATAATTTTGAAAGAAAGAAACTTGCAAGCAGTTGTGTTTGTGAAGTGGTGAAATTGGATTGTTGTATGAAATAATCATAAGAAAGCATGGAAATATATATAGAGTAAGATTCTTTGAGTAGCGTGGGGATTGCATGAAGTATGAATTATAGTGAAGATTAGTATATATTCTTTCTTTGTCTTGAATGAATGTAAGCTACATATCCTTTAATTCCCCCCTATGAAGAAGTATATACTAAGATTTCTTGCCTTGCATGCAGTTCAAAGAAATATGCAACCCAGTGAAGACTAGTATATATTCTTTGCCCTTTTTTTTTTTTTTTTTAATATATAGTTTTGTATACTCTTTGTTCTAAATGTAAGTAAACTAAGGCTTTGAATTTTGAAAGTAGTGTTGGAAGATAATTTATGTAAATATTCTTCAACTTTATTGTTTACAAAAATATAAGCAACAACTTTAATTCAAGTATATATCCTTTCCTTCATTTATGTCTCCAACTTTTGGAATAAAATTCTTTCCTTCACCCTTATTCTATACTTTATTGAATTCCTTGTTATCAGTTGTAGTTTATTTAAGTTGTATTATTGTTTGATTTCTTAATTATAATTTCTTATATTAAACCCCAAGAATTATGTTATGAAAGTTTTGATCAATTCTCAGTTTTTAGGTTGGCTTAACCCGAATTCCTTCGTTTAATTACGGCAACGTTTAATCAGTATACTTTCATTTACTATAGAGGGAGTTTAACAGTAATTAAAGATTATTGGATTGTAGAGGGAGTTTTTCTTTTCTTTTTTATGAATAATTTACTTTAGGGTTCTTTTAAATGAAGTTTAATTTATTAAGGATTAATTTGGAATTCCAACAGTCAAACCTAGTCAAATTATAACTTTGATGGACGCAGAGTAATGGCGGCACATTGTTAGATTCCGAAACTAATAAGGTGAGAAAATGTTATTCATCCTTTTTTTTTTTTTTCAATTATTCGGAATCGTACAAGTATACAATTAAACATTGATCATTAATCTTGTAGTGCCTGCATATATTATTTTACAATTATAATAAATTTATGTTGGGAGATAATTTATGTAAATATTCTTTAACTTTATTGCTTACAAGAAGTATACTTTATTGAATATCCTTTCCTTCATTTGTGTCTCCAACTTTGGGAAGAAAATTTTTTCCTTCACCCCTATTCTATACTTTATTGAATTCCTTATTACCAGTCATATTTTATTTAAGTTGTATTATTATTTGATTTCTTAATTATAATTTTTTATATTAAAACCCAAGAATTATGTCATGAACTTTTGATCAATTCTCAAGTTTTAAGTTGGCTTAACCCGAATTCCGTCATTTAATCATGATAACGTTTAATCAGTATACTTTCATTTACTGTATAATCAATGATTGAAGTTAATAAAATATAAAATAAATTGTTGTAACATATATATATCAGGACAATGACAATGAGGCATAAGTATTGACATCAAAATTATATTGTATAAGAGAGTTTATATATGAATTTGAAGTGACATATAACATAACAATGAAGTATTGACATCAAAATTATATTGTATAAGAAAGNTAAAACATGACAATGACAATGACAATGAGACATTGATAATCAATGAATTTGTATGTCTATTATTATTTTATTGGCCAAACTACATTCCTCACCCTATGTTTCATGGGATAATGTTACAGCAACCGACGGTAGTATACCGAATTTATGCATCGAATAACATGATAAAATCCTGACCGTTGATTAATATTAAATTAAAATTAATCAATGGTCAGGATTTTGTTACGTTATTTGGTACACAAATTGGGTGCATTACCGTCGGTGGTTGTATTATTTTCCATGTTTGGTGAAGGAACTTTTTTTTTTTCTATCTCAGTTTCGTTAAATTTACAGAAGAATGATACTCATGTCATTTCCCCTCACTTATTTAAAGTTAATCAAACACTTACCCTAATTAAAACCCAATAGAATTATATTTTTCTTCTAAATTAAATCAAATCAATTAAAACTCATCAAAAAAATTCAGATTAAAAAAAAAAAATTAAAAACGAAGTCCAGCCACACGGCCCAACGGCATCTGGCTAGGTTAAATCAAGGCTAGGTTGCTCTGGCTTGCTGGCTTTTGCCACCACTACCTTCTCTTCTGGTCGTCGTCATCACCTCTTCTAGTTGTCGAGGATACTAAAGAGGGGTTTGCCCTCTACCTTCTCTTCTAGTTGTCGCCATAGCAATGGCTGCTCCAGCCATAATGCTGTGCACGATCCATGATTTAGTTGAGGAAGATGAAGATTCAGATGATGAACACATTGACATTGGACTCAGATTTAGCTCTAACACTCTCTTTGGGCCATTTTCATTGAAGTATTGTGTTTGCTTTTACTTCTTGTTACCTCTTTCCATTTTCTACCCCAACAACAACAGTTGTAATACAGAGAACGATGGGAGCTTTTTTGGGCCATCTGGGCCTACATGCTTAATGGGCTTCCAACCCGATCCACCGGAAACCAATGCCCAATTGGTAATTGGACTCCGAGCTGAAGCAACGAACAAAACAAGTCTTATCAAAAAGATTTAATGACATTAATTTCTATGAAATTTAACAAAATAATAAAAATTCATTTTAAGTTTCAAAAATAATATAAATTTTTTTATTATTAAAACAAATAAATAATTCGGTAAATAATATTGAGTTATAATAGTGGAAGTTAATTAATATCAAAAAGATTTTCATTATTTCATTATTTTAGAAATTTCATGAGATTTTTTATTCTTATAATTTAAGAGAATTTTTTATTTTTACATCAAATCTTAGGAGGTGGATGTTATTAACTCCATCAAAGATATCAAAAGTAATAAGAATCAACCATATCATTAATGATAAAGGAAAATTTCGACCATATCATTAATGATAAAAGAAAATTTCGATACAGAAAGACAATGAATACCAATTGCTGCTGAATTTAATGATTTCTCCAAGATAAACAAACATTGTCCAATTTCTAAATCTTAATACTTAAAAGCTAAGAAAACTAGAAAAGCATAATAAAGATCCCAAATCAGGAATTATATGCTTGAATTAATATAGAGATCAGAACTTTTATACATCTATATCCAAACCTTACAACCTGCATATACAAGACAACATTTCATGCCACAAAAATCACATCCTAAATTACAAAATATTACAAAAATTCTATCGATCACAGTAATCATACCATGTATAGTAGCAAATTCTCAAAATTATTCGTGTTGCTCATACTTCCCATATCCAAAATTTCCAAAAGACAGTCCAAATAAGCTAGTTGCAAATGAGATATTACAGGAACAAGAAATATAGTGAACTTTTTTCTCCCTACATCCAGTACCATACGATGGTCGTCAAAATTATCATCTAATGTTTATTGGTATACGAGGATCACTTCACAACATTACAAGTACTACGATAGTTTGGAGGATAACGATCAATAAGTTAACCAGTTGCATGGATTATACGGGGCAGAAGTAGCAGTATTATACACTCAGCTTCAGCGAGCGAAGAAATTTCTACCTCCCCTCTGCTATCATGTCACTGAACCGAGCAACATTTACTGGAGAGAGCAATGGATCAACTCCAGGGCTATCATCAATTGCATTTTCACATTGGCACTTCTTTCTGCTGTAACTTATTGTAGAAGAGGATGTGACAATATCTTTGTTCAAAGGGCTATTTGTTGTGTCCTTAAAATCCCAATCAGTCAAACAACTTGGCTTTGAAGTAACAGTTTCCACTTCGATCTCTCCAGCAAGCATGTTAACGATGCGTGACATTGGTGGCCGTAACATTGGTGATGCTTGACTGCACAATAGAGCGACTCCAATTATTCGAGAGCTTCGATTTCATTGAACTCTGCTAAATTGGGATCTATCACCCCCAAACTTTGATTACTTTCATGAAGACTCCAGGCCTAGAAATATAATATGGACCATTCAAAAAGCATGAGTTTTTGCATTAAGGTACATTGGAGAAAGAAAACAAAACAAGTAAAAATTCAAGTTTATTGTCTTTACCCATTCAAGAAGATAAATCTTTTCTCTGTCCAAGCTAGTATCAGAGTTCGCTCTTCCACTCATAATCTCCAAAGCAATAACACCAAAACTGAATACATCAGCCTTTTTTGTCAAATGTCCACGCATTGCGAACTCCGGTGCCACATAGCCACTGCAAGAAAATGAAGGGTTTCTCAAGGTTAAAATCCAAAAGTAAAGTTTGGATATATAGATTGCTCTCACGGTCATTCTTATCAATACTTGAGTGTTTGAAATACTCGCAACAAAATCTACTAGATATTTTGAAATACTCAGCAGCACATTCTAAAAGGAGTACTAAGGAAGAATGGTAGTCAAGGAATGATTAAAGCAGCTTACATGGTCCCTGCAACTCTGGTGCTGATGTGAGTTTTAGTGTCATGATAAGGCTTTGCCAATCCGAAATCTGATATCTTTGGGCAGAGTTCTGCATCAAGTAAAATATTACTTGCTTTGACATCTGGATGTCTAATCTTTGGCCTAGAATCCTCATGAAGATATGCTAGACCTCTTGCACTTCCCAAGCATATATTCAACAGGGTAGGCCAATCAAGATGCCTCTCCCTTCTTCCTGCATAAACATAGCTGCAATCATTAAGATTTTCCAAGGGTTATTAACATTGATAATTGAGGAACCACGGACAATTTATCTCCAGAAATAACTTGGAGCTCATTAAAATATTACCAATCAGCTTTATGGAAACCCTCTGCCTGCTCTTTTTTTGCTCAGTGAGCTAAATTTGTAGTTTTGTTATAAATAAATGCATTTTACAGAGCAGTGCAAATATTTATTTCCTTGTACATTAAAACATTTGAAAGTCATCACAATTGTGTTTTGTACTGAAAGATTTATTGTTTATAAGTGGTACTAAATCATAGGAGCGAAATCACATGCACTAATTTGCAGTTGCTTGCAAGAAAAGCAAAGTAGAAAAATTTGAACTAAGGTTGATCATCCATTAGCATCCTCATACCAAACAATACTTGATCAAGGCTTTTGTTTTCAAGATACTCATAAAAAAGGAGGAGCCTACTTCCCTCGATGCAGCATCCATATAATCTCACAAGATTGTGATGGTGCACTGCAGTTATGGTAGCGGTCTTATTAACAAACTGATTTTTTCCTTGGTGGGATCCTAGTGAAAGTTGCTTCCCAGCTATTAACATAAATCATAGCTGCTCCATCCTTGTTGAGTATCCAAAAGCTAAAATACACCTAGTTTTCCTGTTATAAAACATCGCAACCCAAGTTCCCAGTGTACTATTTATTGTTTGTAACTTGTAAATGTAAGATATAAAAGTTACCTTGTCCACAGGTCCAAATCCTCCCTCGCCAAGCTTATTTTAAGGATCAAAGTCTTTTGTTGCAGACCTCAACGCAGCATAACTGAAAGTTTTGGTTTAGGTCCTCTACCAAGTAGCACTGCATATTGAAGCAAGGTAAAAGAATACATAACAATGAGGATTTACATGACAAGAGATGAATTAAAAGAGAAGCTTTGCCTATTCCATGGAATATGCTATTCCTAGTTTTGAAATTTGACATCAGAAGCCCATATTTTGTAACTGTTATAAGAATGAGACATTATAAATCTGTTATTTATGTTTCTTAGGTGCACCAGAACAAAATTCACACTTATGCCACACCTATATTCTGGAATGCCGAAATGAAATGTAATTCATTGATTTTCAAAAACAAACTTGGTTTAAGAGATTTTACGACTTCTATTTTTTTTTAAATCTCTTTGGCACTCTCACCTTCCGCATCATCATTATCTCTATTTATCCTCATGTAAAGAACCAAAAATATCAGGACCAAACCCAAACTTGCGAGCGCTAAAGAAAAACCAACAATCAACCCAGTCTGGTTCTTATTTCGTCCAATACCAACAGTTGGTGTGAAATTTGAGTAGGAAAATACAGTATGTCTATCAGAAAGCATTTAAGCACAGTTATTGTAACTCATCTTATTCAAAGATTCAAAATTGACATATAACATAACAATGAAGTATTGACATCAAAATTATATTGTATAAGAGAGTTTATATATGAATTTGAAGTGACATATACTATAACAATGAAGTATTGACATCAAAATTACATTGTATAAGAGAGTTTATATGTGAATTTGTATGCCTGTTATAAATCTATTGGCCAAATTACATAGCTCACCCTATGTTTCATGAAAGAACTTTTTTTCTAACTTAGTTTCGAACGCTAACGAAGTTGTCACTCGCATTTCACATTTGGCCCTTAAACTTGAGCGAAGAAGCATATTCATCTCATTTCCTCACTTATAGTTTTCTTCTAAATTAAATCAATTAAAAATCATAAAACAAATTCAAATTAAAAAAAATTAAAATTAAAAACGAAGTGCGGCCGCGGCTCGAGCAGCCACACAGCCCAACCGCATCTGGCCAGGTCAAATGACGGCTAGGCTGTTCTGGCCTCCCGGCTTTGGCCACCACTACCTTCTTTTCTGGTTGTCGCCGTCACCTCTTCTTCTGGCCGTCGGCGGTTCTGCCACTGCCACTACCACCTCCACCTTCTAATACTCTCTATGTTATTGTTTTATATTTTGGCTATCGATTTGAGATTTTATTCGTGGTTTTGATTACGGTGGAAGAATGAGTATGAGATTCTGTGCATTTTGTTGTGGAAGAAATTGGGTTGAAGAGTTTTGATCTGATTGGGTAGCGTTTTAATATATTTTGTTTAGGTAGAGGGAGTTTTTCTTTTCCTTTTTGTGAATTATTTTATTTAGGTTTTTTTCATTAAATTTTAAATTTATTTTAAAATCTATTTTAAAAATAATGAATAATAAGGATAATTTTGGAATTTTAAACAGTCAAACCTGGTCAAATTATAATTTTGATGGACGGTGAGTAATGTGGGTGGCACATATTAGATTACGAAATTAAGGGTGGAATCGGACTTTCATGAAGCATAAGATAGGAAAATGTAATTCGGTCTTTTTTTTTTTTTTTTTTTTTTTTTTTTTTTTTTTCAATCATGCCATTGAACATTGATCTTATAGTGCACACATATATTATTTACAATTATAATAAAAACTATGTTAGATTAAAAAAAAAAAGAGTTAACGACTTTTTCCCACCCAAAAAAAAGCTTGTTAGCACTTTTCCACCCTCAAACTTTTATAATATCCTTTTACTACCCAACTATTATGTTTCACTCTAGCTTGGGTAGGAAATACAATGATTTTTATCTTGAAGACGAAAATACCTTTCTCTCTTCCTCTAATCAAAATTCGAAAAATCCTAGGGTGGGAAAGCTTCAATCGCCCACAATTAGTGAGCAAACAGGATAGAGAATGTTGGGGCTTTTGGAGATGAAGATTTAGAGAGTCGATTGGTGGTGACAAGAATGATTTCCAGCAACAGAATCCACCGCAAAGCACACGGTTGGATGCTAGGCAGGCTGGGAGCTAGGTGTGGAAATAAATCGAACAGGTGGTGAGTCACTTTGGGGCAGTGAGGTTGCCGTGATCTGACAAACAACGGTGGCTAGAAAAAACACAACACCAACACAACCAATCAAAACCTACCAATCGAGCACCAAAAATCCAACGATTTGTAGAGGAAACCACTACAAATTGTGACTATCCCACAACCAAAAAAGTTGGACACGAGCGGCAAACGACGAGCACGGAGGGTTAAGGGAGGGATATGTTTTGAAGAATAAAGAGTGGGAGTCACATGGTGGTAGCAGGGGGCATTTTGGGTGATTGAATCAAACGGAAAAAGGTTGAAAAGATGAGAAATCATGCAAAGACTGAAGTGGCGATTTTCGACAATTGGCAAGTGCACCAGGCTCAAGGTGAACAGATTAAGGGTGAGAGAGGCTTGGGGGAAGAGAATGGAGGAGGCGGTGAGTTTCAAGGTGGATTTCTAACACTGGAAATCTGGCTTGAAGAGTCAGCCATGTGAATAGAGGTGGTGGCAAGAAATGGTGAGTGATGACGGCAAATAGAGGTCTGGGCTTTGTAGAAGAGGTGATAGGGATTCTGTGGGTGGTCTCGGAAGTAATTTTGGACACAAGGATCAGCTGAAAAACGACAAAAACTACTAGCTACGAGGTTACTAACGTGCACGGCCCTTTTCTTTTCTTCTTCTCCAATGGCCAAAATGTTTGTTGATGATTGTACCCTCATTTATAATGGACTTTTGACCGCCTTGTCCTTCATCACAACAAAAATTACTAACAAAATTGTGCTTTGGGCATTAAAATGGTATTATAAAAGCTTGAGGGTGGGAAAATGTATTAAGCTTTTTTTGGGGTGGGAAAAAGTTGTAAACTCTAAAAAAAATTGAAGTTTTAAAAAGACTTTAACAACATACAAGGGATGCGTAGAGAAATTAAAATATAATTCGAAATTTTAACAAGTCTAAATTAAAAAAAATAAATAAATAAATACACAAAACACAAACATATATCAATAACAATAACGAAAATTTTCAATACTTTCTAAGAGACAATGAGTGTCGATTGCCAACTGAATTAAATGATCTCTCAAGGCTATATGAACATTAACCTATTTCTAAATGTTAACACTTGAAATCTAAGAAAGGTAGATTAAAGAACCCAAATCAGGAATTATATGCTTGAGTTATATAGAGATTGGAACTTTTATACGACTATATCCAAACCTTAGTACCATACAAGCTACATATACTATGAATCCATATTTGTAAAATTGATGGTTAAATTCGCAACGAAAAATATTTGAAACGTTGCGAATATGACATTCCATGCCACAAAATTCGCATCCTAAAATACACAATATTACAAAAATTATACCGATTGTTGTAATCTTACCCCTGTATAGCAGAAATTCCCAAAATTATACATACTGCTGAAACTTCCCATATCCAGAAATTTCAAAAGAGATCCCAAATAAGCTAGTTGCAGAAGGACTATAGAGAGGTTTTCTCTACATACATCTAATAAGATGGTCTTCAAATTTGTTGTGTAATTAATAGTATTGGTATACAAGAAGCATCGTTATTCACTCAGTTTCGGTGAGCTAAGAAATTTCTCACCTCCCCTCTGCAATTATGTCATTGAACCGAGCGGCATTTTTTGGAGAGAGCAATGGATCAACTCCAGGGCTAAGATCAGTTGCACTGTCACATTGGCTCTTCTTTCTGCTATAACTTCTTGTCGATGAGGATGTAACCGTATCTTCGTTCAAAAGGCTATTTGTTATGTCCTTGTAATTCCAATCAGTCAAATAACTTGGCTTTGAAGTAACAGTTTCCACTTCGATGTCCCCAGCAAGCATGTTAACAACGCGTGACATTGTTGGCCGTAACATCGGTGACGCTTGAGTGCACAAGAGAGCGACTTTTATTACTCGTAGAGCTTCGATTTCATTGTACTCTGATAATTTGGAATCTATCAACTCCAAAGTTTGGTTACTTTCATGAAGACTCCAGGCCTATAAATACCATAAGAGACAATTCAAGAAGAATAAGTTTTTTAACACTAGGGTACATAGAAGAAAGCATAAAAACAAAAAAATAAGTACCCATTCAAGAAGATAAATCTTTTCCCTATCCAGGCTAGTATCAGAGTTTGCCCTTCCACTGATAATCTCCAAAGCAACAACACCAAAACTGAATACATCAGCCTTTTCTGTCAAGTGTCCACGCATTGCATACTCTGGTGCCAGATAGCCACTGCAAGAAAATGAAGGGTTTCTCAAGGTTAAAATCCAAAAGTAAAGTTTGGGTACAGCCCTAATCCAGGCGCCCACTTGCCTTTACAATGTGAAAACCTTTGTAAGTTAGCAAATCTTACATAAACACAAAGAAATTCCATCATTATCAAAGATGACAAAAGGTTTTCTCAACATACATGTATTGCTCTAAGAGTCATTCTCATTAATGCATGTACGTTAAGCATGTTGAGTATTTTGAGATACGCACAACAAAATCTACTAGATGTTTTGAAATACTCTGCAACACATTCTAAAAGAAGTAATAAGGAAGAATGGTAGTCAAGGAATTACTGAAGCAGCTTACATGGTCCCTGCAACTCTGGTGCTGATGTGAGATTTTCTGTCATCATACAGCTTTGCCAATCCAAAATCTGATATCTTTGGGCAGAGTTTTGCATCGAGTAAAATATTACTTGCTTTGACATCTCGATGAACGATCTTTGGTCTAGAGTCCTCATGAAGATATGCCAGACCTCTTGCAGTTCCCAAGCATATATTGAACCGGGTAGGCCAATCGAGATGCAACCCCCGTCTTCCTGCAGAAACATGGCTGCAATCATTAAGATCTTCAAGAGTTATGGACATGGATAACTGAGGATTCATGGACAATTTATCCCCATAAACAATTTGGAGCTCAATAAAACATTGACAATCAGCTCAAACCCGTTTGTGCTCTTATTTGCTCATTAAATTTGCAGTTTTCTTTATAACTAAACACAATGTAAATCGTAGAACAAATATTTCTTTCTTTAAACCTTGCATTGGTTAAAACATTTGAAAGTCAGCAAAATAGTATTTTGTACTGAAAAATTTGTTGTTTATGAGTGGACGCAAATCATAGGAGAGAAATCACATGCATTAATGTTGCAGTTGCTTGCAAGAAATACAGAAGCAGAAATTTTAAACTAAAGTTGATCATCAATTAGCATCCTCATACCAAACAATACTTGATCAAGGCTTTTGTTTTCAAGGTACTCATAAACAAGGAGGAGCCTAGTTCCCTCGATGCAGCAACCATGCAATTTCACAAGATTACGATGTTGCACAGAAGTTATGGCAGCGATCTCATTAACAAACTGCTTTTTCCCTTGGTGGGACCCTAGAGAAAGTTGTTTCACAGCTATAACCCTTCCATCAGAAAGTGTACCCTGTAGCATCAGATTTATAGACATAAATTATATATGCTACATCTTTGGTGAGTATCCAAATGCTGAAATTCACCTAGTTTTCTTGTTAATAGTGTTCAGCTATGATAATGCATTACAAATACAACATTGCAACCCAAGTTCCCAGTGTGCTATTTATTGTTTGTAACTTGGAAATGTAAGATATAAAAGTTACCTTGTAAACAGGTCCAAAGCCTCCCTCGCCAAGCTTATTTGGAGGGTCGAAGTCTTTTGTTGCAGATCTCAACTCAGCATAACTGAAAGTTTTTGGTTTAGGTCCTATTCCAAGTAGCACTGCATATTGAAGCAAGATAAAAGATTACATAACATTGAGGATTTGCATGACAAGTGATGAATTAAACCAGCAGCTTTGCCTATTTCATGAACAAACTTAGGTGCACTAGAACAACATTCATACTTTTCAGGAATCTACTTTTCTCAGATGCCCAGAGAACCTTTAACTTTGTGCCCAAGTGAGATGCAAATTCACTAAATTTTTTAACAAACTTGGTTTCTGAGACTTCAACTATTATTAATTTAAAAATCTCTTGGGCTCTCTTACCTTCCGCATCATCATTGTGTCTTTTTGTCCTCATGTAAAAAGTTAAAAATATCAGTATCAAGCCCGAAATTCCGAGAGCTACTGCAATACCAACAATGAGTGCAGTCTGGTTCTTCTTATGTGCAATACCAACAGTTGGTTTGAAATCTGAGAAGTTAAATTCAGTCAAATGTATACCAGAAAGGAGCATATAAGCACATTTATTGTAAGTCACCTTAAATGAAGATTCAAAGGAATCAAATAATTACCTGGAATGACACTAAGAGCTGAAACTAATGGCCCGTAACTACCTTGATCAGGTATGCAACAGGTCCCTTTACCAGCCCAAAATAGGTGAATTTCAAGGTAGTTCTCAGACACATTAGCATTAAATTTCTTCGTAATTGCTTTTCTTGCCCCACCTGCTTCCTTTGATATGTCAAAATCTTTTAACTGGAGAGTTCCCTACAGGATCATTTAGGAAAGAAAATAGATGAAATTGTAATAGTAAAAATATAGATATATAATAAGGGTATGAACCAAAACTTTCCAATGAATGTTTACCTGAATATAGATATCAAAAACACGCCTTCCAAGACTCGTCCACGTTTGTGAGCCTTGATCACCAAAAACTGTCTCAGCAAAGGACAAGCTTACATTGTAAGGTCCATTCTCTAGACCAAGTCCATAGTATCTAAGTGATCCTGGGGATTGCCTTGAAGACTGATAAAGTTTCGGGGTTGGAGTGCCAGTCACTTGTGAGCTAGTATTTTGAACATGAGTGTTAAATTGTCCATCAGAAAACAAACCCGCATCACTAATTGCCCATTTTTGGGTATCAAGTACAATAAAAGAAGCTCCACCAAGATCATAGCTATCGGCCTCATACACTATGCTATCAACTTTCATTTCTTCACCACCACACTTGATTGCAAAACTTGAATCTGTGGTTGGAAAAAAAAAAAAAAAAAAAAAAAAGAACACCATGCCATCAGTTTGGTCCAGTTATCCCAACTAAAGCTGAACTAACAAACAATTTATAAAGCCACAGCAGCATCTATATTTAAGCAAAATAATACAGGGAGAAAGCTGAATTGGTAGTAAACTAAATTTTAGAAAAATAACTATACAGCAGAAAGAAAGACTTACAGCGCGGAGCATTCTTATTGCAGGGGAAGTTTCTCTGCAGACAGTTCAATCCAGGGAGAATACTGGCAAGCACAGAAAACATTACCCGTTATCTTTGTTAAAGCAGCATATTCCATTGCTGAGGTTTTTATTTCTATTACTTTTTCTTTAAGTGAGAGCCTTTGTTCAAAAACAAAATCTGATACCATATTTATCAAAAAAGGAACTATAACTAACCTGATGTTTGAGCTGTCAAATGTGAAATTGTTGGCCACTAGATTCCTATTCAATTCAATGCAAAGATCAATTATACTTCAAAGTTTGAAGTATACTAACTAGAGATATATTATATTAAATTAAAATCATAACATAGCAAATAATCAACTATGTTAGAATGACATCAGAAATGAGCTGTGACTTTATGGTATGCCAAATGGTTATCCCAATTGACATTTGTTTGGAAATAGGAAATTCAAGTGCGTCAAGGCAATTAGTTGGGCACGGTCAAGTATTTCTGATGATTGTCACATGATAAGAGAAAATTGAGTCACTAAAGTGCTAAATGTTAGCCATGAAGATGAATAATCAACAAATTCTCATACTGTCATCTAGTTTTCTCTTGAATTGGCTTGATTGTCGAAGATTTTATTATTGATTAATTCATACAATCATGTAAAACATTATAATCTATTAACAAAACAAGGAAAGAGGGTTATTGAGCTCCAGAATGCCTAAGGTCCAAAGCAATGTTTGATTTCTAGAAAATGAAGATGGAAAATGAAGTTACTATGGTTGAAGAGACATACAGCTGTTGCGAACCTGTAGTCACCCACGACGGAAAAGTTCCTGATAGATAATTGTAAGATAAATCTCTGCAGGAGTACATTAAGCATCAGTTAGAAGGAATCATATGCACCAACATACAAATCTTAAGAAGGAACAAATCAGTTAAGATTTTCAATTGCTTTCATCAATTACTTGTCACAAGAAAGTGGTTACAACTATAGTTAAGATTTTTAAATTTTAAATGGGGTGGCCTAATTCCATGATACATATCTGTAGCAGTAGCACCTTTTTCTTTTTTCTTCTTAATCTATTCGTGAAGCATTGGCACCAATGCCTCTCCACTCTTCTAAATTGGAGCCTCTAAAACTTTCAAGGCAGATACAGCAAAAATGGAAGTATAACGTCTATCTAACCAAACAAGATATAATAGGGCATAATTCTCAAGATAACTGAAATTAAGGCTTACATGTTTTTAAGATATACAGCTTTTTGCTGAGGAAGGGTTCCTGATAAACCATTGTTTCCAAGAAACCTAGCGAGAGAAGCAAAAAACAAATGAATGTACATTTAATGAAAGAAGAAGGATCAGAGGAAAACTAGAAACTAAAGCTAACTTAAATATAAAGGACTCAAATCTAGAATCAGTAGTGAGAAGCTTTCAATAAATTTACAAGTGAGTAAGAGAATCGACACTGAACAAAGCACTTGGGATTTGCCCAGTTAAGTTGTTGAAACTCAAATCCCTGCAGAAGGAGAAAATTTTTTTTTTAAAAAAAGCACACATGCACATAAACAATAAGAGACACACTCATAGCATTACAATACTAACTTACAGTGTCTGTAAACTTTTATATTCTCCAATGTTAGATGGAATGCTACCATTGATCAGAGCATTTCTCAGAGATCTATGGGGATAGAAAAGATTGAGCAGTGTCAAATTAACCAGCTGAGAAGAAAAATAAAAAACTAAGAAGTTAGATATAACTGAATGGTGTATGTGTAACTTACAAATCAGTTAAGTTCTTCATGTTTTTAATGAAATCAAGGGAGGAACTCACACTGTTTATATCCGTGATTTGCCTGCACGATTAATTCAAACATCACCGATATGATATCATGTCACATTAATAATTTGACTTATTTTTAAGGGAGAGTTGGTATGTGTAGTGTTATACAAGTTATACTCACAAGGTGACCAATGAGGACAAGTTAGAAAAACTAGACGGTATAGGACCTTCAAAAGAGTTTCCCCCAAATCTCCTACAGAGAAATTTGACAACCTAGTCAACAAAATAACCAGAATGCTTAAATCTAGACAGAGCCAAAGAAACTTCTGCTATCAGTCACTAAACAAATTTGAATATCATGAAAGAAGTTTTTCATATATTACAAGGATGTAAGCTTGGTCCAGTTGCCAATGAAATCAGGTATTTTGCCAGATAAAGAACAATCATATGCCCACCTGAAATTTAAAACAGTCACAAGGTAATCTACAAGCATTACAGAAACAGAAGGCCATAAACATGTAGATAGGATCTTCCTTACATAATTTGCATATTTCGAAGATTAGCGAATGTTGAGGGAATCTCCCCACTCACTCCAGAGCTATCTATGTAACTGTGAAATTCACCAATAGAAAATTTCTTAATTTCATAAGACCTGAATCTCTGGTGAGAAAATAGTGCTGTACTTAAGAAAACTAAATAAAATATATTAAACAAAAAAGTATGAACCCACATTTCTTCTAGGTTGACTAAGCTACCCAGTTCAGAAGGAAGTGCTCCAGAGAAATTGTTGGAACCTATAGCCCTGCATGACACATATCAGAAGAATTTAACCCTTTAGTGGTCGTTGTTTTTGTAAATTCATAATTTTCCCATGACCAACACATTTTTTAAGCGATTTTATGGATGAATGTAATTGCAAGTTTTATATATATGCACAATGGCTTTAACCGTGATGCTGAGTTTTCCTAAACACAGCATGTGACACATTGAGTCATGGCAGTTTTTTATCGTAAGACTTCTATTTTTTTTTTTTTTTTTTTAATTTTTTTTCTAGCTCTAAGAGTGTTTCCGGTAATCAATTTCAGATTAAAAACAATAAAACTTTTATTCTTGATTCTGCGTCAACCACTCTTGCGAATGGCATAGAAGATAGTTTTCTGTGTAGAAAATAATTATTATTGATGCTTTCTTTTAAGAAATATAATGGTAGAGACTTTATCTAAATCTTGCTCTCATTTTACAGAAAAGGAAAAGGAAAAGGAGAAAGTTTCCCATCCTTACAGAAAAGTTAAGTCCTTCAGGTTTCCAAGCTCCTTTGGGAGAGGCCCAGAAAGTGCATTGTGGCCAACCTCTCTAGACACATGAAAGACAAAATTATAACAAAATCCAAACTCATTTACCAAAATAATCAAATACAATCTAAAATATGCTTTCAATCATAAGGGTATTTTTCAATACTTACAAAGACTTCAATCGAGATAAATTTCCAATAAAGGCAGGCAAGGGACCCATGAAGTAATTTCGATTAATTCTACTGGAATGGTCAAACAGAAAAACTTAATCAAATCTAACATAATATTTTTCCATTAACTAGAAATGATAAACATCAAAGTTGATTGATACAAATCAAATGCAAGACATAGGAAAATCCATACAAATTTGTCAGAAATTGCAAAGCCACTAGTTCTTCTGGAATCACTCCTGTTCTGTCCAGTGCAAAGACTCTCCTGGAAAAAATAAAGAAAAGTTTCATTCATTTCTCCTAAAATTTGAACTGATTACAATTGCACGCTCTATTGGCTTAGGAAAAATACACACTTCCTTACAGGATAAATTTTATATACAACTTTAGGGAAGGTTTTGCAACTACTTTTTAGAAGAAACTATAACAGTATTATTGATCGGAAAAAAAGATTACAAAAGAGTGAACAAACTGAGCACAAAAGTTATAATATATCTAAAGCATCAAAAACAGATATGCATTATAGGTTGAACAGTTCAATGAAAAGTTATAAATAACTCAAAAATTAATGCTAATAGCACAAAATAAACCCCAGATCTCTTTAAAATCCAAGTGAATAAAGGAAAAAGATATATTCTTTAGAGACTGAAGCCTACACAGAAGCAAGCAAACAAATGTTGTCCCAAGAAAAGGACAAGTTTACTATAAATTTTAGAACTTCAGAAGATGATTCTTTCGGAACCAGTATAATCCGTCCATAGCATAACAAACCCTAAACAAGTCAATATGAAAATTTCAGTAATTTTGGTATAGAGAAAGAGAGAGTACAGCTCAGTGATATGGCAAGTTGAACCATTTTCATAAGAACAGTCACATTTGATAGCAGGATTATAGTCTTCCAAGTTAGTTGCATTGATGGCGGCTGCACTACAAGGCTCTCCACTTATGTTCCACAATCCTGGCGCTGCTTGTGCATCCCATTGTTGAAATATTGAGTTCAATGCCCTCACTGCTCACAACATCAAGCCAAGCAATTAAAAATTTTCACAACCAGCTTATAGAATGCATGCAAGATTACAAGTAAACACACAGTTTCATAAAATCAATGACTCTTTGTGTATATGGGAATGGAGTAAAGTTGATAAATTGTCCGATAGGCCACAGCCATATCAAGAACCATTCAAATTGGTCAAGTTTGAGGTCAATGGCCGTAGCATGGTCATTGTAACAACACATACTAACAATCAAAGTAGATTGTTTAATGGTCATTATAACAACATAAACTAACTAACCAAAATAAATTGCTTAGATTATAAAGCCAACTTAGATGTTACTTCACTATCAATTTAAGACTTCACAAACTCTTCTCCCTGCTGTGATCAATCTATACTTGGGCCAAAATATATTTACTTAGGTGAAGATAACTTAGGGAGTTTGGGTGTGTTATTTTATGAATTTTGTGAAAATGTGAAAAATGAAAATGCATTCCACGTGTTTACTTAAAACTAAATAAGGGGAAAAAAAAAACCTTAAATTTATCACATCCACAAACGATAAAACCTCTTCAAATTACAACTTATTTTCTTTGTCTCAAAGTTCATCTCAAATATGCCAATAGTTAATTTCTATTTGCAATTTTATGTTAAAAATCAATATTAAAAATAATGGTTTTTGTTTTAGAAGATAAGAAAAAAAATACATATAATTTTTTATTCAAATATTAATTTTTAATAGAAAACAAAAAGGGACATCATAAATTTTGATAAAATGGTGTTTACTGGCAAGAATTCCTAAACAAAGAATCGAAAATGATAAATTGAAATTATAAACGAACGCGCCCTTAATTTTGAGCTAACCGCGACGGGAGATATGACAANTCATCTCAAATATGCCAATAGTTAATTTCTATTTGCAATTTTATGTTAAAAATCAATATTAAAAATAATGGTTTTTGTTTTAGAAGATAAGAAAAAAAATACATATAATTTTTTATTCAAATATTAATTTTTAATAGAAAACAAAAAGGGACATCATAAATTTTGATAAATTGGTGTTTACTGGCAAGAATTCCTTAAAAAAAGAAACGAAAATGATAAATTGAAATTATAAACGAACGCACCCTTAATTTTGAGCTAACCGCGACGGGAGATATGAGAAATTCCTTCAACTATTGTAATAGTCATCTCCCCTCAACCAATTTCATGCGAGTTCAATCATCTTATATTGATCCTGACCAAACTAGAACTCCCACATTTGAGTTGCGATGATTGATGAACTGTTATTTCTTGCTCATTCCCACTTAAAAACGCTAAGCCATGTATCATTTTACCGAGAAAACTAAACTCTGCAGCGGTCTAATTTAAACTAGCTTGATCTAACCAATGGAAACCCAGTTCAAGCAATCTCTTAAAGAACCCAAAACCCATATCAAAAAACCCGGATATCATTGTCTTCCACGAAATTTTATGTCTCAGGGGCATTTCATCAAACACTTAACCAGTTACGTCAAGCTGTCAAGTGCATACTGTTTTAAAATGAATTACAAATAATAAATGGAATTATTTCACTAATCCCCTTGGATTTTGATTGAATAACAGATGTTTCTAAAATAACAAAAATCTCCCTACCCCCTTGAGTTTCAAAGTGTTACCATAAACGGTGACGGAAAGTGTTTCTGAAATAAATTTCTGGATCCCAATATGAAAACATCTTCATAAACTATACAAAAATACACTATTGGCAAAATCTATTTGAAGATCTTCATGTGAAAACAAGTCTTCAAATGTTTGACTAATCCAATTTGATGACAAAATCAGTCGCTAAAATCACAGTAAGTCCTACGTTTTGTTTGGTGGGCAATTGTGATTGAAAACTACGGGACTAAAGACAATAATATGTTTCAATTATACACTGCAATTCATCTTAATGGCTCCCAAATCTCTCTCTTATCACTTACACCTCATACATTTTGACTATTATTTCTTTAAAAAAAAATTAATTTTGTCGTCACAAAGTTGCCACCATACATACCATAGAACTAACTAGAAACTTTATTAGACTACTTTTAATGACTATTTCATCTTTAAAATTATTAAATTTAAGTTCAATGTTTCGTAATCATATAAACTTATAAAAAGATTAGGTTTTTTTATGCTATTAAAGAATTTTTGTCTCAATAACTCTGTAAGACTTATCTGATTAATACATAACGACGATATTATCTTATGTGACATTATCTTTTTTTTTTTTTTTTTAAGGATTGCGGTGTCCAAACCAGTTTGTACGAAATTTAACTAATCTTCCGAAACTTTGAAACTACCGACCAAGTACAAGCTCTAATGATTACTCCTATTAAGGACTGCGAGAACTCAAACTCCGAAGACCATATCAACTTAGATCCTCTTTTGTTCTTTTACAATCATATCAAATAGATCATAATAAGTTCATATTTGGAATATTTGTTACGATAAAGTGGAATATTCTCCGAAATATGTGTGCTATAAGTGATAAAGCTCATGGTAGAGAGAAAGAAGGCAGAAAAAAAATTAAAACAGAAAGAAGAGAAAATATGGCCAGAAAACCAAGAGAATTAAGGGTGAAGTGAACAGTCTTGTTCTGCATAATATAAGACTAATAATATTATTTTATATATAAACTAATCTATTAAAGCCATTATATATAATATTCAATTGAAACAAATGATTAATTGTAAAATAAAATTTATTCACATAAAAAGAGAGAGAGAGAGGTACCTTCATTAGGGTCAGTGGTAGCAGTTTGAGCAATGGAGTTGTGAATGATAAGAAGATGAAGATGAAGATGAAGAACTGGGAAAATCCTGAAGAAGAAAGTTGCATTTTCGTGTTTGTGTAGAAGAGGAGAATGGTTCAGGTTTTGATAATCATATATAAAAAGGGTTGAATTGAAGTGTGATCAAGCAACAAGGCAATGGCGGCCGCTTGTTGACTTTGTTAGCTGATGAGTCATGTGGTTCTATTCAAGCATACACTCAAAATTTTCTTTTTCTTGTAGTAAGGAAATTCTATTGTTTTTCCTCCTATTTCAAATTCCAAACTCTTATTAATGGCCTTCTCCTGTTCGTTGAAAGTAGGCTAAAATTTCTTTGTGAGGTTAGGCTTTTAGTGAACCAATAATGCTACAGACACCGAGACTCTACCCCTAATTCTTACACCGAATTACGTGTCCTATGACTCACACCAACCACGTTGCAACATTCACAAATATTTGTTAGTGAACGTCGTTTATCAATTATGGACGATCATTTACTTATGAGGACTCCCGTCTATAATATGGACGGTATCTATTTACTATAGACAGGAGTCTACATTTAAAGAACGTCGTTCATCAGTAAACAAAAAAAAATATATATAAACAAAAATAATGGACAGTCATTCATAGGTTGGACGACGTCTAAATAAATGACGGACGTCCACATATAATAGACGCCCATCCAACCTTAAACAATAAAATTTTCATAAAAAATTAATGGACGGGCTTCATAGGTAATGGACGCCGTCCATATTTAATGTATTTGGTGTTTCTTTTGCTTTCTTGCTTTAGGCTCTGTAAGTTCTGATAAGGAAGATGAGAAATGGTCTGAGTTGCATGATAAAATGCTTCAAGGAAGTGCTCTGGGTTTGCTTGTGTGGAGAGTCCAGAGAGAGGGGGCTGTTGGGGACAAATGTGAGGTTCTGCATAAGCTTGAGACGGCTGAGAAAGAGATTGCAGAGTTGAGGAAGTTAAGAAGCGAAGACGCCAAAGCTAAGAGGCAAAACGGTGTGCTTTCCAATTTCCATCGCTGTTATTACAATGTTGCCTTGACTCAAAGTCAACTATAAACTAAGTTGAGCAAAAAGGAATCTTGTCTTGTTAGCATTCAAAACCGTTGAAAACTAATCTACATATTCGTATTTAGCTCTGAATATTCCCCGTATTTCATGGCAAAATGATAAGATTTCTTTCTAAATATACAATATACATACATGTGAAGGAGAGGAGGAAGAAGACGACCACAATGTGTTGAGTTCGTTGCCTGCCCACCTCAATTCTAGGCCGACAGAATAAACACAAAAATGGGTGTTCTTGGATCTTCTTCTTCTTCGTCTTCTTGTTTTGTTGTGTTTCTGTGCTTGGTTTTGAACGTGGCAGTGTTGTGTAATGGAGGTAAAACTAGCAGTTTTGAACGTGGCAGATTTGGGTTGCCTGCATTGGTGAAAGATTGAGCACAAATATCTTGTGTGAAAGTTTCCATTTGAACAGGGAGCTGAGAGGGTTGTGAAACCACGAGTGAATATGAAGAGAATCCTTGTGAGTTAAACTCTTATAGGCTTTGGTTTTGTCAGAATTGTTCTTATTGTTAATGGCCACAAATATCTTGTGTGAAAGTTTCCATTTGAACAGGGAGCTGAGAGGGTTGTGAAACCACGAGTGAATGTGAAGAGAATCCTTGTGGGTTAAACTCTTATAGGCTTTGGTTTTGTCAGAATTGTTGTCATTGTTAATGGCCACAAATATCTTGTGTGAAAGTTTCCACTTGAACAGGGAGAGGGTTGTGAAACCACGAGTGAATGTGAAGAGAATCCTTGTGGGTTAAACTCTTATAGGCTTTGGTTTTGTCAGAATTGTTAATGGCCCTCTGGCATATGCACTATTCAAGCATCAATGTTCCTCCTCCATGCGTTTAGTTTCACCTCATAATTCTTGGAGCCACTAGAAGCTTATCTCTATTATTATTGTTCATTTAGTCAGAGCTTTTTCTCTTCATCTGTCTTTGAGGACTGAAGGGGAAGATATATAGTCCTACCGTGGAAGTAGAGCTGGGCATTTGGGACCGGCCCAAAAGCTCAGCTCCAAAACCCGATCCTAAGACCGGTCTTTGAGAGGACCGGACCTAGGAGGGCCCAAATTTTTTTTTATTTTTTTAATATAGTACCCTGCCAAATTGCCAAAACCCCCTGTTAATTTAAGATAAATATAAATTATGAGGGCTAACATGAAATTTTACAAAATTTATAAAAAAAAAAATCTTCCAGGTCTAAAAAATTTATAAAATTTATAAATTTTACCTCTAAAAAATACTAAAAACCCCCTATAAAATTTTGTTTTGCCCCCAAAATATAAAAAAAATTGAGGGGGGAAAAAAAATTATCCAAACCCCTCGAGACCGATCCTAGGACCCGTCCCAAGCCCATGAATGACTGGTCCCATTTGGGACCAGTCCCAAACGGACCCAGGCCTGGGCCCGCAAGGGACTAGTCCCTACCCACCTCTACGTGGAAGCATAACTTTTGTTGCCATTCTAGTCGTTGTGTTGTCTATTGTGATGTAACTTCAAGCAAAATAGATAATTTGAAAAGCCTTTAAACGAGAGTGGTGAATAAAAGTTGAAGTTGTGAGAGATGGTGGGCATTAAAATATGTAAATCTTTGAAGTTGTGGCGGGTGGTGTTGTGGAGATCAGATTCCTTGAAGGGGCATTGAATCCTTTCGTGCTCTCAGGTGCAACATGGTGACAGAATACAGATGGTTATGGTTCTTCGCTTCTTAACTTCCTCAACTCTGCAATCTCTTTCTCAGCCGTCTCAAGCTTATGCAGAACCTCACATTTGTCCCCAACAGCCCCCTCTCTTTGGACTCTCCACGCAAGCAAACCCAGAGCACTTCCTTGAAGCATTTTATCATGCAACTCAGACCATTTCCCTTCTTCATCTTCCTTATCAGAACTTGACAGAAGCCTTAAAGCAAAGAAAACAAAAGCAACACCAAATTACATTAATAATGGACGGCCGTTCAATTTTGTTTATAAAAATTGTATTGTTTAAAGGTTGGAAGCGTCCTTTATTTAAGGACAGTGGTCTATAATCTACAAATGATCGTTCATTATTTTTATTTATATTATTTTTTTTTGTTTACTGATGAACAGACGTTCTTTAAATGTGGACTCCTGTCTATAGTAAATAGATCCATATCCATATAATATGGATAGAAGTTTATCGTAAGTGAACGACGTCTATAGTTGACGAAAACTCGTTCACTAGTAAAATATCTGTGATTACGTAACATAACTGGTGTGAGTGATAGTGAAGGGTAAGACACGTAATTCGGTATAAGAGTTCAGTATAGAATCGAGCTATAATATTATTGTTTAGTGCATATCACATTGGACCTTGCTACACTTACTGATTAAACTACCGATTTTAACATACTGACCCACTACCCAATTATCCAAATCTCAAAATTTAACTCAAGGGTCAGTATGTCAAATCGGTAATTTAATCGGTAGCTTTAGCATTGTTGTGTCACATTACAATCTTCTGTACGGACTCTGAAATCTTGACTGACATGGCAGTCTACGCGGCATATCTAACTTATGCCACGTCAGCCCTCCCCAAAACTGAAAAAATATGTTTCAGTAACTCTAATTTGCAGAAATTAGAATTTCCTAAATTCAAATCTGGCTCCCAAAATTCACATCTGCCCCAAATTTGCAAACCCTAAAGTCATCACATTCTTCAATCTCAGCCGCATTCCACAACCGCACCACCACATTTCGCCGCCGTCCAACCCCTTACATGTACTGTTCGAGAGAGAAATTCCCAAAGCAGTATCGCGTTCGCGCTGTAGTCTCTAATTTTCTTTCCTATTCTTTCTTTAGCCAAACAAAACCCTGGAGACAGAGCTGAGAATCGAAAGCACTGGTAAGTCGAATGGTCTCTTTTTCAATTCGATTTTCAGTTTCAATTAGATGTTATTTGATTTTGTCTTTTGCGGCTTTGCCTAGCTGCTCCTGTAATCTCTCTTTTTTTTTTTTTTTTTATCTGTGGAATGCATTTATTGTTAGATTTAATCTCCTTATTTTGCACTTCTTGTGTTCATTTTTGGTGGCAAGCTTGTTCATTTTTGCAATATATATATGTAATCTCCTTATTTTGCACTTCTGTTGTTCATTTTTGGTGGCAAGTTTGTTCTTCCTTTGGCTATAGTTTTATCACTCATTCTTGAATTCGGTTCCAAAATGCTCGTCTTTCAAATTTGATCCTAATACTGGTTGGCGTTCATGGTTTCAGGTTTTACCCTTATCATTATGCACCCTTTGCTTCTGATCCGAAAAGTCTCGGCCGGCTGAAGACAAGCTTTGAACTGGGTCAGCACTTTAAACCGTTCAATCAACTATTGGGAGTTTTCCCTGCTGCAAGGTATGGTCCCAGAAACAAGAAGAACTCAAAACTGAATGAGATGGTTGAATTGAAGAATACTTAGTCATGTGTGGTGTTAGAAGTGGCAACTTTCTTATTATAAGATGGGCCAGAATACATTATATTGACATGACCAAAGAGCCTTCAATTTGAATGGGAATATATATATATATTTTCCAGAATATATCCATATTAGAGACTAAAGTTAAATATGTGGGTGACAAGCTTTCCTTCACATGACATGCATTCTCAATAATTCACATATAACTTTGGTAAAAAGAGATGTAAAGTAGTGGGTTTGAGCTTAAAGTAGAGTACTATTTGGCCTATAATGGCATGTGCTATTCTTAGTGTTGGATGCATTGTTTAACTACGATTATTATTTTTTAGGTAATCTGTTTACATCATAGTACCCAAGTTGGAAGAGTGCAATCCAAAGATGGAAGAGTGCAGTCAAAAGAAACCAGAGAACTCTTCTTCTCAATTCAATGTCGTTGAGGTAATCTCTTTTTATTCATATTGATTTTAAATTTTTTTATGGTATTATTTCTACCCTTTTTTTAAGTATTATTATATTCTAATTCTAGCTATTATAACATGAATAAATTAGGATAATAATAAACAAGAAATAGAAGATACAAGAAGTGCAGAAGAGAAATTGGAGCCTAAGCCTGGGATGCTTTTGATTCATTTGATAAGCTTTCGAATACTACAAAAACTATGGATAAAAGGGTTTTGAAGCAATTATAAGATCTTCAAAAAAGGAGATGATGGACAGGTGAAATTTGCGACATTGGCTGTTTCTCGTGGTGGGAAGTCGAGCAGTAACTCCAGAAATGTCTTTAAAATGCATGTCGACAAAAACTGATGTAAGGCTCGGAGGTGCATCTGTACGTTAGATGGAAAATGGCAAATATGCTCAATTACATTTGATCATAACCATGAACTCAGTAGTCCTGGGAAAACTAAATTTTCAAGAGTAATCGAATAAAACTAAACAGCCTTTTAAAAAGAAAGCTTGAAGTGAGGGGTAGAGTTAGACAACTAAAAATTTCATTCCTTGTTAGTTGAAGCAGGTGGTGCTGAGAATTTGCCTGCCCTACAAAAAAATGTAGGAACTACATTGAAAAAGTTAGGAGGCTACGACTTGGTGTTGGAGATGCTTCTGCAATGCAAAAATATTTTTGAAAATGCAAAATGAGAATTCAAATTCTTTTTACATGGATTTAGATGAAGAGGGTCGATTAAAGAATGTTTTATGGGTGGATGCTAGAAGTAGGGTGCGCATTTAAAGAATTTGGTGATGTTGTGACATTCGACACGACATATTTGACCAACAGTATGATATGCCGTTTGTTTATTTTTTGGTGTTGATCATCATGGCACTCATACGTTAGGTTGGGGTTAGTCTCCAACGAGGACACAGAAACATTTGTGTGGCTTTTTCAATCCTGGCTTGCATGTATGTTGAATTGTGCTCCTAAGGCAATAATCACGATCAAGTAAAGCAAGCGAAACGCAATCGAGATTGTGTTCCCTAGTACACGACATAGATGGTGTTTGTGGCTGTAATGAAGAAATTGCCTGAAAAGTTAAGAGGTTATAGCCAATATGAATATATTAAGTCTTCTTTGCAAAATATTGTGTATGATTCATTGACATGTGAGGAGTTTGAAGAACATTGGAATAGCATTGATAAATACAACCTTCACGATAATGATTGGTTACTTGGATTGTTTAATGAAAGACGACGTTGGGTGCCGATTTTTGTGAAAGATACTTTTTGGGCAGGTATGTCTATTACTCAACGCAGTGAACGTATGCATACATTCTTTGATGGATAGTTAATTCAAAAACCACTTTAAAACAGTTTGTGAAACATATGAGAATGCATTGCGTGAAAAAGGAAAAAGAAAGGGAGGCTGATTTTAAATCTTTCAAATCATGGATCCCTTGCATAACCACTTATGCCATTGAGAAACAATTTCAAGATGCATATCCATTGCGAAATTCAAAGAGTTTCAACAAGAGCTAGCTGCTAAGATCTATTGTGATTTTCTTCTTTCAAAGAGATTGTTCCTTATGGAATTTAGAATAGAAGAAGATGTTTTGGTTGGAGAGACTCAACTTCGTGTTCCTTTCTGTTTGCTTTGATGAAGCAACTGTGATGTTCGTTGAATTGTCGATTGTTTGAGTTTAAAGGAATTATATGTCGACATACAATAGTGGTGTTGATTCGTAAACAAATTTTTCATGTAACAGACAAGTACATTTTAAGGCGATGGAGGAAAATTAAACAATTGCAAACCAAGGTTAAGATAAGTTATAATAGTTGGAGCACCAATGATGAAGGAAAACGATTTGATCAATTGTGTAATTATCTCTAACTAGCAGATTTGGCATCAGGTAAGAGGATGATTGTAATATGGTGATACAAATGATCAATGATATGAAGAACAAATTGATGTTGCAGGAAAGTGTTGGCGAGAATGGTAAAAGACTAAACAACTCGTCTAATAGTACAATGAATCGTGAGGTTTGATGGTAGGAGTCATAACGCGATGTGTCAATTGGTATTTTAAGTCCTCTAACACCACCACCGTTGACTATAGTGAGCACCACTCGCAGTAGTCCATAACAGAAAAATTACAGCTTTGGTGGGTTAGGTTGCAGCATGTACCCTCTTCTAGTAGATCGACAGGAGTCCATAAAGGAACCAAGAAAGGGGGAGAATCTGTGACCAAGCTAGTGGTAAAATCGTTTTTTTTTTTTAGATTAAAAGTGCATGGGAGACTCAGAGGCAGATGCTACAATCCTTGTCCTGAAAGAAAAGCAGATGCCCAGGTAATATTTTATGCTGTTATTAAATTTTAGTACATCTTGATATGTTTTAGTATGGTTAGGCACGTAAAGTTACATTATGCAATGCTTTTCTTTACCCTTTTTGTTTCAAAATTGGTGTACTTAGCTCAGTTATACATAACTACGTTGATAAGAGCACTTTCTGTGGCTTGGTAAAAAGGATCAAAGGGTAATGTAACCATACTGCCAACCCTTGTTGCCAACAATTGTCAATATCGAGGTCTGTATGTGATGTTATGTTTTGTAGATAAAAATGTAAAGTTTTTCCCTTTCCTGAAGTATGTGCTGCTTCTTGCAGGAAAGTTGGTGAAAGGTGCTATCTTGAGGGACATCTGTGCTGGTTTTGAGGAACCAACTGAGCCAGCTGTTTGTTTGAGTGGTGGTAAGTTTTAATTTTAGCCTGATACTAATTAGGGTAAATGTGTTACACTTCTTGGGTCATATATAGTTTATCTGGTGCAACAATTGAAGTCTCAAAGCTTCAATTCTTAAGTGCGCTAATTGAATCTTGAAATTGGAGAGGTTAGCACATATTCAAGACCCTTTGGTGGGAGTTGGAACCTTCACTGAGTATGGTTTAACTCTTGGAGATGTATTTGTTTTCAACATAAGTTCATGAGTGAACATTTTTCTATGGCAGATGTAGAGAGACAAACGAGTGCTTGGATAATAGTGGGGGTTGTTGGCAAGATAAAGGAGCCAACATCACAGCCTGCAAGTTATGGATGTAACCATTTGGCTAGGCAGGTTATTGTTTTGTTTCAATTGATTTTTTTGTTTATTTATTTAGCTGAGTTATTGAGTTGTTAATGCTTCTAACAGGGTACCTTCCGTGGGGGGTATGTGAATGCCCTCTAGTTGATAGTCTACAGTTCAAATGAGATGGTTACAGCCACTGTGAAGGTGAGATTGTTGTAAATGTAGCCTCTATATTTGTGTAAGTTTAATTAAGAGATGAACTTTAGTCTGATGAATGCATTGTTTGAGAATCATCATTTCTTTCACATATTGTAAACTTGAGAATTCTGTTGACTAAACCAAGGAAATGATGTTAATCTTATAATGTTTGGATTTATATTTACTGTGTATTTACTTTTTAGCAGATATAGAATTTTAGCTGGTATCTATTTCCAATTTTGTTTTTTTCTTATAGGAAAGTTATTTACTTTTATGTGTAATATTATTGTGAATATTTGGTTGACAAAAAATATAAGATATGTGCAAAAATAATGTGAGTTGCTTACCAAGTATTTAGATAAAAAATAATAGGAAAGAAAAGAAAATCACATTGAATTGAGAAGGGAACATTTACTAGTTAAGAGGGGAGTAAAAGATAGTATGGAATTGCTGAATTCTTAGGCCAGTGAATTTTAGGAAAAACAATGGATTGGATTGATCATTAGTATGTTCGGCAATTTGTTTTCTCAATATCTTCATGTGGGAGAGCCTTATTTGGAATCACTACATCAACTTAAATTTTATCTGTGCATCTCATCATGCCATGACAGTAGCATTTTATAAAATAAACAAGCACCGAATGGAGTTACAATTTGGCCAAGTTTGATTAGAATTATGACCTATATATTATTATATATCACAAATTTTGCAAGTTGGGTTTCTGATAACTCCTTTCCCTTTGCAATCATGCAGTGGTACCATTCTGGGTTTCCCGTAACTCCTTTCTCCAGCATGCATTGGCCAGAAATTTTCTGTGCAAGAAATAAAGCTGTCATTGGTACAATTATATATTAAATTTTTTATTTTATTTTTTAGTTTTGGGGGGCATTGGTGTGGCAGATGAGGTGGCATCTACCACGTCAGTCAGGATGTATCAGTCAGTAAGTGTAGTCTTAATGTTGGTAATTAGAGAGTAAAGGTTGGTTAATGTGATAGGAAATAAGAATGTTTCTAATGAATATTGCTTAAAGCAATCTTTTGCCTGAATTAGAGTTACATACGAGTGTTGGTGTCTTCTTTCTATTTGTACAGGAGAGATTTCACATAGAATGTACATGTATCTGTTATATGACCTTTTTATTCTTGTACCTACCTACTCATTCCATTAAAGAGTGATTATGTCATTTTCTTTTCCATTTTTATAAACTACTATCTACAAACTTAAATCTTATAAAGATAAAATACATATTAGAAGAGGATCTTTATCCCTCGTGAGGTGACAAAAATATAAAGGAACAAACATCTTAAAAACACATGATATTGTTAATTAGGGTGCAAACTTTTCTACTTTATTAATGGGAGAACAGAAGTTATAAATTATTTAATTAAGGAACAATAAACAGTTACTTAGGCATAGATTTAACTTTATATGAGAGTAAAGACAGTAGTTGAACAATTGAAATTATAAAAATTAAAAATTATCAAATTGAAAATTGAAAAACTAAATAAAATATNGATTTAGGGGGTGTAAATGTAAAAAATTAAAACTGCAGGAATTTTGGGGGTGTAATTGTCATAATTGAAAACTGTTAGGGGTTATACTGTCAAAACTGAAAGCTGGAGAGAGAAAAAACAGTCCACCCGCGGGTCCACCCGTACCCGTATAGGGTAGGGCACGGGTCCAAAATATTGGACCCGTATATATCCACCCGTTTTGGACCCGTACCCGTTTTACCCGTACCCGTTTTACCCGGCCCGTACCCGGCCCACCCACCCGTTTTGCCAGGTCTAATTGTGTGCAGTGCAATAATAAATAGAACATTAATTAAGGGGATGGATGAGGTAATATAAATGGGGCTAAAAATTTAAGAGTAATGCTACCGCCCATGATAGTAGTATATCGAATTTATGCATTGAATGACGTGATAAAATCTTGACCGTTTATTAATATTAAGTTAAAATTAATCAATGTCAAAATTTTATCACGTTATTCGGTATATAAATTCTATACACGGTCGTCTGTGGGTGTATTATTTTTCAAAATTTAATGGTGATGAAGGGCGGATGGGTTGGATGGCCTTGAACAATCCGAAACAAAAACCATTGAATGCTCCCATTTATTATGACGCTGCAATTTCCTTTTATCCTTAACAAGTAATCCAACTCTCTTTTAATGCACCAACCATTATCATCATTCATTTGCCCTTAGTCTATTCTCACCCCTTTCCGCCATAAATGACCTCTTTACNAAAGTCTTGAAAAGTTTTTACCCTAATTTAGAATATCCCTAAAAAAATCGGCTTAACAAGTCTTATAAATATATAAAGCTTATTCTTATTAACACGGTAACATTACTAGATCGATAAAAATTATTGAATGTGGTCAAAAACACTTACACAAAATTGATAATACCGAAACGATGAAACCCAATAATTTAGATTGGCCCGGTGACATTACTGGGCCTGCACCAATGATGGGTCATTCTTAATATAATCTAATCATGCAGATATTTGGACCAAACTCTCTAACCCTATCATAAGAACAAAATGATTAATCAATGGATTTTAATTTGACATAATCTACAGAATCTTGTGGCCCAAGCCGAAAACTCATAGAGTACAAGGACCAAACCTGTCCAAAAGACTGTTAACAATTTTATTTTTTCTCATGAAAAATAATTAATTTTTTAAAATTAAAAGGTTTAATATAGCATTTTCTAAATGATCTTGAAATAAATAGCCCATATCAGATTTAAGTTTATTTTCTCTAAATGGTTTGTTATATTTTCTATAGACTATAGAGAGAACTCCAAGTCTATAGAAAATTTTATATGCTTATATAATATAAAATACCATACAAAATTTTCAATTTAAAGACTTACTTGAATTAAAATGTTGGACCTAAGTGAATGAAACTAGTTCAATAAATAGATTACCTTAACATCGATCCGTGAATGATCAATTCATCAAACACGTGTCAATATTACAAAATTTCATTCCGAACGGACTGGTTTTACATGCCCTGTATTTAATTATAAAAGGAAAAACATATTTTGGTTATTTTTGTTTTTTATATTCTTTTATCAAGGATAATATAGTCAACTCATGATTTTATAACTATTTATGTGTTACCAAGTATTGAAATGGATGTTCATATACCCTTTTAATGTCAACTTATAAAAAATATTTGGGTTTAGAGCAAAAGTTGTTCTTTAGTTACTAATCAATCTTCAACCAATGAAAGAAACCCTTCTTTATAAGTTTTGTTGAGTCCATATATTTAAACACAAGGACCACATTCTTTTGACTCTCTTATGCATTCATTTACAAGCCAATTTCATATCAATTTCAATACAAAATTGACTACGTAATTTCCATCCTTGTACGTATATAATTCATTAGTCAGAATGTTTGTATATGTATAATAATTCTCCAAGTTAGAAGACTCCGATATTAGTTGTGTCAATTAATTCTTTAAAATTAACATTAACGAACATCAATAAATTGGAGTTTTGATATATATATATATATATATATATATGAAAATATGTAAGAAAGTACTAATTGACCCCTATAACGTTATTAGAGGGGGTTGCTTTAAGCCATTATCTTAACCTCGATAATAGTATATGTAAGTCAAAATATTGGAGTAAGCTCAACACTAGTTGAAAGATAGGATCATACTTTAGTTAACACTTGAATAAGAATTCAAAGATAGAGGTAAAAATAACGCGTTTACTTTAAACTTTTAGGTTCTTGCTTCACCCATGCAATGGTCATTAAAAGAGGATTAAGAAATAAAATGATCAAATTTGATCTGTTTTCAACGGCCATAAGATGATCTTTATTATTAAAAAAAACTTTCCGTACAACGGATATTGGTACAACCATCAAACCATGGAGTGTTACATCACTACGAGTGAGATTCATTTCACCTCATAATTAGATATCTGATGTGAGGAAGATTTTTTTTCATCTCTTAGAGGGATCTTAATCTCAATAAATGCTTCGAATATACTAACAAACCCTAAATATCAATTCTAACATCTACATCAAGAATTCAAATATTGTATAAGTCATTAATCCGATCATTTATAGAAACTGGTCGTGATATCCGACTATTATTGTAGAGAAGCCCCATCTAAAAAGCAAGTAGGAAGGTGACAATAAGATCATTAATGAAATGGTAGTAAAATACTCTACCGTGTGTTGAATGGAGGCTCTTAAAACAAAATTAAATGAAACCTGTTAATATCACATCATATAATTCAAAAATAAATATTTTTTTTAATTTCCAAATCTAAGTCTTTAATAGGCAAGTAAGCAACCCAATTAATTGAGATAGATTAACAATTATTTGTACTTTACAACAATAATTAAATAAACATTAATATGAACCACAAATAATTCATCATGCAAAAACTGGTTTTATAAACTCCTTAATTCGAGTCTCTGACTAATAAGATGGTTTCTAGGACTCTTATCCGACGACGGTTTTAAGGTTTTGAAGAATTAGTTGAAATACCTGAATTGCCCTGAACACCCTCTGATGACAAAAAAAAAAAAAAAATAATTCGCATGTGGACCAAGAATTATCAATATAAGTCAAACCTAAATGAAATTATGTATGTTATGAAGAGATAGTACCATCCAGAGAGTACATTTTTTTTGTTTTTGGAACAAACGAAAAATAAAATATATGTTTCATTATTAATAAAACGGATTCTTTATTATTTATAACTTTTTTTTTTTAATAAACAGACATTTAAATTTATCAAATGAAATAAGAGAATAAATATATGAATATATCATATTTTTGCCATCTCACCAAACTTCTTAGTCTTTGGATTACACTTATTTATGGTTATTAATATTATAAAAAAATTTAATTTATGGGTTAGTTCTATAAACTTAATTTTTTAAAATTAATATAGCAAGAATTCATTGATGAAGAGAAATTAAAATCATCCATCTTCAAATTTACTTTCGGATAATGTCTTTGTTCAAGTCTAGTTAATCTTATTTTTTAATCACAAATTAACAATCTTTTAAGTGAACAAGTCCACACTTAAAAAAAAAAAAAAAAAAAAAAAAAAAAAAGCAAACTAACATGGGCAACGTTTTTTTAATATTGAAAATTTTTAGTTGGCTTTTAATTTACATTTATATTTTAATCAATTCTAGGTTAGTTTAAAAAAATAATAATATTAATAAACCTCATATATTGTATGCAATAATAATTCAACATTAATTAATGCATAAATGAGGCAATTATTACGATTCTAAATAATAAACTATAAAATCTTCATGAATGGATTTTTACTTCCTTGTGTTCCATAATTATAATTAAATTTAACCAATTAATTTTAAACTTAGCATGAATTCAAACAAAAACCAAAAGAAAAAAATTGTAAAAAATTTATAAAAAATATTAAATTAAGGACTGAGTATAGTTGATTGCAAATAACCACAATCGTTCTTTAAATTGTGTGTGTTTGATATATATAGACAAAGACTTGTTGTTGAATTTATTTGTTAATTAAAAGAACTTATTTAAAGTTATAAACACTTTGGACTCATTTTAAGTGTTAAAATTTATAAAGATCCTATCTATATAATAAGTTTTTTGGTGATCAAAGTCTTTTGGTGATTTAGTACTAAAAAATTATTTTACATTTTCTAACCAAACAATTAACAATTTTCTTTTAAAAAAGCTTTACTATATAACTTTATTCAAATAAATCATAACAACACACTCAAATAACTTTTGTTCTTACCATAATTTGAGTTCCAATTTACTGGGGTTTTTTTTTTATTATATTATTTAGTAATAAACCCTATATGATTTATCTTTTGTAATAAGCACTTTGGTTTAGACGTGGCCCTAGCTCTGTTGGTTTCGGAAATGCAACTCTAGAACTCATGTTTTGTCTTTTTTTAATGAACCCATTGTTTCAAAATATCAATAATTCAACCTTCAAATATATTAACAATTATCAATTAACTTCAAAAAAATATATTACTCTAAGTTTTAACAAATTTTAGTAAAAATCATTTCTTTCAAATTTAAACCGACAACTTTATGCCTCTAAAAAGAGTCAAGTATACAGGGGTTAAGGATATTTTTAAACTAGAGGATGATAACTAAAAAAAAACCAAATACAGGGGATTTTAGTTAAAAAAGTCCCAAATTTAATTAAATTAAATCTTATATATTACATTGTGTTAGAACATGGCAAACGGGTCTGGCCCCGCGGTTGGACCAATACCCGGGTTAAAAATATAGGGTTACGGGTCCAATTTAATAAACCCATTTTTAAGAACCGTACCCGTATCCGGCCCAGATACACAGGGTTTACGGGTGAACCGCGGGCACCCGCGAGGCACCGTATTTGCAGTAAAGAGTTTGGTTCTTTGAATCCCTAATTTTTCACGCATTCCATTCACGCAAGCAGTCACGCCTCTACTCTCTCATCTCTACACTCTCCAATCTCATCAGTCATCTTGATCTGATCTCTCACTCTCACATCTGTCTTGATCTCTCACCTCACATCTCTGATCTTGATCTTCACTCTCACTCTCAGATCTCATAAACTTATCGTGGCCGCATCTCAAAGTGGGTTTTTGACAGATTTTGTGTTTTCTTTTTCCAGTGGAATACGCTGGGAAGCGTCCGTAAGGGGAACGCCCGCGAGGTTGCGTACGTGGAACCGATATCGTCGTCCTTGGATCGAGAAGAAAACCACGGACCACCGCTAAGCTTCAAGACTCTAGGTAGTTATACAAAGCTAAGTTTCCTCTTTTGTTTACTGGAATTAGTGATGTATTCATGACATAGGTGTTTGTCATTGCTGTTGGTGTTTTTGCAATAATGTCACGAAAATGTCAAATTAACAAACAATATTGCAATAATGTCAGAAATGGTTGAATAGGGTTGGAAAAAGTGCATTTTTAGTATAGCGACCTTCAACTTATTGCAGCAGAAGGCACTGACCTGATGACTAACAGTCATTCTGAAATTAAATTCTGTAGGTGACTGGTGCCAGAATGGATGGCACCTAAGACTTACATGCTAAAAGCCTAAAACAAAGTGTTAGAAATAAGTGGTTTAGACAAACCTCCCATATTACACCCATATTTGAAGATTCTACACTACTTGAAAGATGTCCATCACTTTCAATATTTTGGATTAAAGGAAGACAGATCAGAGCAGTGTTTTAAGCTTAATTACAAACTACTAATTATAATGCTAATTACTTGAAGGAATCAATTTTCAGTAGAATGTAATTGTAGGATCAACAGAGTTTGTGAGTGTGATAGAAAAAACCACAGCAATGACAGAAACACTAGTCTATGGAATTTGTATTCCAATTCCTTTATTTGTATTCCATAGCTATGTTCTTGCTTTTCAAGTTTGCCATTAAAAAGTTGTTGTTGAGAATCACTACTCACTAGACTCCTGTAACTAATAAGGCTGGTATGATATTTAGTTCACGCATTTAATGTTGATTATAGTAGGGCAAAGAAGCCAAACAATGACTGGCCTAAGTTTAATCACTCTACCCCTAATACAATTTTTATAATCTGATTCTGATTGCGATTTATAATCGATATTTTAGCATATCTTCCAATGCATGCGTCTTATTGATTACATAGACGTTAGCATCATTTTATTGATTACTTTAGTGTTTAATACTGAATTTTTTAGAGGTTAATGATCAGTTGAGTCGTCGGTTAATTATGTTAGAAAAACAACCACTACAGCTATAGGACAGGCTAATTCATTTGATCATTGTCCTGTATTGCTTTCTTCATCTCATCAGATTAATTGTTTTTTGATCGATTGTTTATCTATAATTGTAAGTTAGTTCGTTAATATTTGTAGATATCGATAGCGAGTGTATGGAGACAGGACTAAAAAAATTAATGAATTAATTGGTAAAAATGTAAAATTATCATGAAACCAGAACAGGTAAGACCCATTTACTAAAACCTTGTGCTGCCCTTTTAATTTCATTAATGAATTAAGATGATTATCTAAAAGTTCATTGGATGGTCCAGTTTGTTCTTCCTCGTGAAAACAGCCAAATATGAGGCACCATGGTGTCACAGAACAAGTATCTGAAACAGTTTAGCATAGTTATCATTAGCTACAGACACAGTACCCAATTAGAAAGTGTCCTCTAAGAGTGATTAAATAGGATATGAGGTTGAAGGTAACAATGTAGTTGATCATTGTTTTGTAGAATGAGGTGAAAGATGATTCGGATGATGACTTGATGTGCCATTGATGATCTCGAGACTGTGGAATCAAGAGACTCTATCACGCCCATGTGGGATGAACATTTGCTGTCCTAAGAATATTTTTTGTGAATATGGATTATGTATTGTTTATTTTAATTGGTATTTATAGTTTATTAACTTATTTGGTTGTTTAGTGTAATTGTGTATTAGTGATTTTGTATTTGTGTTTTGGTTGGTATTTGTAGTTTGTATTATATGTTATTGTTTGTTTATGTGTATTTGTTTTTTTTTTGTTCTATTTGTAATTCTTAATTGAATTGAATTAGAGTAGTTGATTAGGGGGGGTAAATGTAAAAAATTAAAACTGCAGGAATTTTGGGGGTGTAATTGTCATAATTGAAAACTGTTAGGGGTTATACTGTCAAAACTGAAAGCTGGAGAGAGAAAAAAAACGTCCACCCGCGGGTCCACCCGTACGTATAGGGTAGGGCAGGGTCAAAATATTGGACCGTATATATCCACCGTTTTGGACCCGTACCCGTTTACCCGTACCCGTTTTACCGGCCCGTACCCGGCCACCCACCCGTTTTGCAGGTCTAATTGTGTGCAGTGCAATAATAATAGAACATTAATTAAGGGGATGGATGAGGTAATATAAATGGGGCTAAAAATTTAAGAGTAATGCTACCGCCATGATAGTAGTATATCGAATTTATGATTGAATGACGTGATAAAATCTTGACCGTTTATTAATATTAAGTTAAAATTAATCAAGTCAAAATTTTATCACGTTATTCGGTATATAAATTCTATACACGGTCGTCTGTGGGTGTATATTTTTCAAAATTATGGTGATGAAGGGGGATGGGTTGGATGGCCTTGAACAATCCGAAACAAAAACCATGAATGCTCCCATTTATTATGACGCGCAATTTCTTTTATCTTAACAGTAATCCACTCTCTTTTATGCACCTACATTCATCATTTAATGCTTCATTTGTTCATTTTCCCTAGTTATTCTCGCTTCTCTTTTATTTTCACAACATCACCATTTTAATAAGGTAATACACCATGCAAAATTGAGATCCTTAATTCATATTAAGTCTATGTGACATCTGATTTAGTAACATCTCTTTGACAAATCTTATGGTTGATCTGTAGATAAAAGAGCAAAGAGAAACATAGGTTTAAGTTTCAATCCCTCAACACTAAGAGCATCTCTAGACTCTTTATATGACCAAACTCTTATTATAAAGAGTCTATCCTAAAAATAAGAGTCCACAAGCTCTTTATTTAAAATATAAATTAAAGAGTGGGTTTGACTCTCTACATTTAGAGAGTCAAATTTCACTCTTTAATAATTTTAATAATAAACTACAAGTTCATATGTTTTTATTTATTAATTCTCTCTTCAATTAAGTTTCTTTCTTAAAAATAAAGAGCATCTTCATTAAATTTAAAGAGTTATTGAATTTGAATAAAAACTGTGTTCTTTATATTTAAAAATAATGAAGATGCTCTTTATTTATACGAAAATGTTCTTCAAATAAAGAGCACCATTGGAGATATTCTATAGGGATGACTATTGAGGGGATTTACTCGATTATTATTTTGAGTCTCGAGAGATTAATTAAAGTGCGTGCTAAATTAATTGTTAGGTTGTTATGCAAAATTGAAATTTTGGATTTTAAGTTCATATACAAATTTTCTAATTCAATAAAAGATCTTTACTGGCTTAACCAACTTTTATGGCTGATATTTAAGTGTATACAATAACCTAAACCCATTTATAGATATTATTGTTAACTCATTAATTAAGGTTATCAAGTAAATTTGAATTATTTCTTTATCATTATCATACATTTAGATATAACTGTCATATTAATTTATCTTTCTATCTTTTAAGTCACACCTTTGAGTTAATATTATGAAAATACTTGAATATAATAATATTCCCTAAAATATTCACTTATCTCTTTGAATCCATCACTCATCCCTTTTATAGCATCTCGGATTCATATCGCTCAATGAACATGTGATGAATCAGGGTGGTACAAGTGGTCTTAAATTATCTTCCAATCATTAAACCGTACATTCCCATTAATAATAAAAATAATTCATGTAATTAAAATTATAAGGTAATTATAAAATTATAGGAGGGTAAAACTGTCATTTAAACGTAGAAATCGAGAAGCGTCGGCGTCCAAATAAGGTGTAATAATTAATTCTTTAACTTTCTCGAACCCCACCTTATAATTTACTTCACATTCAAGCTCTCTCTCTCTCTCTCTCTCTCTCTCTATAAATACTCTTGCTTCCTGGCTTCAGTTTTCTGTTATTGCAAAAGATAATCAAAGCGTTCATTAATGGCTGCAGATGTTACTTCTTTCCTCGGACTCAGACAAGAACCGAGCTCAAACTCAGAAATTTTGATCACCAAAGACTTGCTCGGAGGCCTCTCCAAGATTTCTAACTCAGAATCGGATCTGGGTTTAAAGGTAGTTTGTTTGTTTGTGTTTATAACTTTATTTAGCAACCATATGATTCGAATCGGTTAATATGATAATAAATTATAAAAGCATTTTATGGTGCAGCAGAATGAACAACGAGTGAGATGCAAGTCACCAAACACACCATTATCATCCATTTCAGCATCAGAAAACTCCGAAAACAAGAGGAATCATCCTCAGGAAACAAACCCAGATGCAGATTTCCAGGACTTGAATTATCCACCATGTTCAGCAACATCACCACCGCAACAAACACATCAAATCAACCATTTCCTGGAAGAAACTTGCCTGGATTTGAAGCTGCAATCCTCAAACCATTACCAAAGTGTTTGCACTCTCGACAAGGTCAAATCCGCTCTGCAAAGAGCCGAAAAACAGAACCTGGAAAAGAAAAGACCTTATTCTTCTCCTTCTCCTTCGCCAGGGCCCTTAAATTCATCATCTTCATCTTCAGGTCCTGGAATGTTTGCAGCAGGCTGCCCTGGTTGCCTGCTTTATGTAATCACATTAAAAACAAATCCCAGATGTCCTCGTTGCAACGCCACCGTGCCGTCTCCGGTGGCGGTGAAGAAGGCGAAAATTGATCTGAATTCATCGTTTTGAAGATTGATGTCATTATCTTCCTGTATAGTGATTAAGAATGGTTTTTAAAGGGTAAATTAGGTTCAGGAATATGGGTATTATTTATTTATTTATAGATAGATTAGATATGATTAATTGGGTTATTTAGATTTAGGTTTAAATTTGGTGTAATTTGTCGAATTTTGATTGTATGATTTATACTTGGCATAATTTTTATTTTTTTGAAATTGGTTTTGCCAGCCATATTTATTGAATGTTGAAATATTAAAGAAGGGCAGTCGTTTCTTCTGACCTTAGTGAATTTCATTTATGGTGTTAAGAATTGTGGAGTTTATTCATTTTAAGTTGCTGCGTGATAATTAATTATAAACCAAAATGGAATTGGCTTCCTCTTCTTTCAATTTCAAATGGGATTAGGATTTTCTATATTCTTTGGATTGATATGTTTTAAAAATATATGCACATATTTTAATTAAATATCTAGTGAGGACATTCTGAAAATTTTAACATGTATTCACAAGCATCTGATTGATATCTAACTTATAAGCTTTAAAATAAAAAAAACCCACTCATCTTTCATTCGCGTATGAAAATTTTAACATATTAACTAAAGGTGAGCATCCTATTAGTCTCTAACTAGGACAATTGTCTTTAATCTTCATATTAAAAGTTATAAAATATCAAAATATCTTGATTTTATATAGCATCCGAGTAGTCTCTAACTAGGACACTTATCTTTAATCCGCATATTAAAAGTTATAAAATACCAAAATATTATTATAAAATATCAAAATATTATTATATAATATTTTGGTATTTTATAACTTTTAATATGCGGATTAAAGGCAAGTGTCTTAGTTAGAGACTAATAGGATGCTCATCTATATATGTGTGTGTGTGTACACATGCGCGCGCGTGCTCGTGGGGTTCATGCACTGTCACGTTGCATAGTGAAGAAAGAGGTATAATTCTTATTAATGCAGCAAATAAATGCTAGTGGCCAGGGATTATCCACCTATTCAAGTCCTACGTAATTTGAGAATATTTCTCGTGCAGATAATCAATGGGATGCAAAGAATGACTTACATAACACATATCCACTTGTAAACTCGTAATCATTACCTTGAACTCTCACACTTTAAATAGATGACACCCTTCTCATTTACGGGATTGGCTGATGTTAGACTAAAATAGTTTATACACACTTTCTCTATCTCTCTCCCTACATTCTCTCTAAATTATAACTAAACTGGCCACACATGACCTGACTATACCCATCATTAATACAATAACAGTGAAAGTATGATTCACTTTTGAGCATCCAACCCACTTTAAAAATCGCTTCTCATTTATTCTCTCGTTTCATATTTACATATTACGTGTAATTTCTGAGTCTGATTAATACTTTGTACGTGTGAGTTATTGTTATCAAAATCAAACATCAACAATATGTAATTAGGATATTTTGATATTAATTTTGTTAAGATAATGCTAAATTATCATTAAATTTATTTTATTAGATTGATATAATTTTTTACCATTCAAATTTACTAATTCTTCTTGATATATATATTTTTTTTATAAGGGGCCATGCTTGAATGTCGTCATCGATGTTGTAAGATGTAATTAAAAACTTGAAGGCAGGCTTTTAAATTGTGTGGTGTATTATTTTTCTTGATAACTTTTTAATTATGAGTCTACTTTAACATAGAAAATGTAAAAACGAAACTGATTTTATTAAATTCTTCCGGCGGCATGGGGCGGAGCTATCTTTGGCTTCAGGTGGCCATGGCCATCCCCGGCCGAAGAAGAACTCCTTATGATGATTATATATTTTTAATATATTTGATAAAATATATATTGAATTTACTTATTAACCACCCCAAAATTAAGCACAAGATTGGATATATATCTAGATTTAAATTCTTAATGTCATTTATTATAAATTTAAATTCTTACTTATTTTATCATTTTAAGGTTTTATTAATTTGATTTTTGCACTTTTTTTATTTTTTATTTTTATATTTTTATAAAATATCATAACTCCTAATTAGTAAAATATTGAAAAGTTAAATATTAGATTTAGTTTGTGTCATTTATAAGGTAATTAACTATGCAAGCTAAATTTTAACAACTACAAGTGCATTTATAGAATAATTTAACATTTTCGATAATTTGTCTCTTAAATCTTTCCAACTACAATTTTTAATTTTGTTTCTTTATAAAAGTTTGTCATTAGACTTTAATATTGTAATAGTATATAACTTAAAAATTGTAATGTATGAGGCTAAACATTTAAAGAATAATAGTAAAACTTACTATATGAAACCATAAAAACTTGTATGTATAGTTGAACACAAAAATAAATTCCGACCACCACAAGATTGGGATCTTGGCTCTGCTCCTATCGATCGGTTTGGCCTCTGGACAATGGATTTTTATTAACAATCTATGCTAACTTTGAAAATATAAAAACAAAAATAAATAGACGTGTAATTTGGTTTTATTAAATAGAATAAATTGACGATTCAAAGAATTGTTATCATTCGATGAAAATATTGTCACTTTCAATTTTAATTTCTTTGGAGATTATACTTTTCATATCTAATAATTTTGCCTTGGTTGATCCATTTTTTTTGCGTAAGGTTTAAGCTAAAAGTATTTAACTTATTGGTCAATTCAAACAAACATGCAAATTAATATAAGTATTCTCTTCCTATTTTTATATCATACACCCCTCCATTCATTTTATTTTATTATTCCATTAATACATAATTTATATGAGAACTTAGTACTTAATTGTTTTCAATTACTAAAACTAGAACAAGACAAAATTGTTTCACATGTATAAATCAAACAAAAAGAAGAACCACAAATAGTGTAAGTCCCACGAATATTCATTTATGATTGAAACATGTATCAAATTATTAATTCATTTGAAAATCATGAATGAGAAAAATAAATAGTCCAAGTTGAGAAGACGTGTGAATTATGATAAAAATAGACTGAAAATTGTTAGATATATTGATGTAATGTTTTTCGACCTTTTAAATTATAATCGAGTCAACTTTTGAAATGGTTCAAGAGTAGAGAAGGGGGCAACGTTTCCTCGATGCTATCGTGATACTATAATAGATAATATTTGATTGGATCAAAATATATCCTGAAGCAATAAATAAATATATTCAAGTTAATATAAGTTAATGCCTCAATTACAATAAGATAGACTATGAATTACAAAATACCGAAGTAAGATTACTGCTTTCTCGACCATTTATATTACAATCAAGTCAATTATTAAAGTATAGTTTTTAAACGGTAGAGAAGTAGTAGCATATCCTCAAAGCTATAGACCTATGGTGGTACCAAATAGATAATACTGATCAGATCAAATTAGAAGAGAATAAACAAATTTTAGATAGGAAGGTGCGTGAGCTAATATAAGAATAAACGGACAATTATAACACATCAATTTAACATTACTATTTTCTAAAACTCTTAAAATTATGATCGCTACAAATCTTAAACCCTGATTTAAGAGTGAAAAAGAGGGTAGCGTTTCCTCAGGACATTTTAATGGAACTTGAATAGATAATAGTGTTGAAATCCGACCCGACCCGATCTTTTTTTTTTTGTTTTTTTTTTTTTTCGGGTGCGCATTGATTGGATAAGGTGATTTAATATCATTGGGACGAAAGAATGATTGCGGGTAAGTGTAATTAATACAAGAGTAATGCTATGTTTACTCACAATCTTACTAACCTCTTACTATCCTGTGTAAATATAACGACATAGTACGGGGACCATGCATATAGTACCCGTACTATCACTCTCACATCTTGATCTCTGATCTTCTCACTCTCACTCTCAGATTCTCAAACTTTATCGTGCCGCATCTCAAGATGGGTTTTTGACAATTTTGTGTTTTCTTTTCCAGGTGGAATACGCTCGGGAAGCCGTCCGTAGGGGAACGCCGCAGTTGGAGTACGTGGAACCGATATCGTCGTCCTTGGCATCGAGAAGAAATCCACCGACCACCGCTAAGCTTCAAGACTCTAGGTGTTTATACATAAGCTAAGTTTCCTCTTTTGTTTCCTGGAATTAGTGATTGTATTCCATGGACTAGTGTTTCTTTCATTGCTGTTGGTTTTGCAATAATGTCACGAAAATGTCAATTAACAAACAATATTGCAATAATGTCACGAAAATGGTTGAATAGGGTGGAAAAAGTGCATTTTTAGTATAGCGACCTTCAACTTATTGCAGCCAGAAGGCACTGACCTCCTGACTAACAGTCATTCTGAATTAAATTTCTAGCTGATCTGGTGCCAGAATGGATGGCACTTAAGACTTACATGCTAAAAGCCTAAAACAAAGTGTTAGAATAAGTGGTTTAGACTAAACCTCCCATTATTACACACATATTGAAGATTCTACACTACTTGAAAGATGTCCATCACTTTCAATATTTTGGATTAAAAGAAGACAGATCCAGAGCAGTGTTTTAAGCTTAATTACAAACTACTAATTATCAAATGCAATTACTTGAAGGAATCAATTTTCAGTAAAGTAATTGTATAGTCAACAGATTTTTGAGTGTGATAAGAAAACCAACAGCAATGACAGAAACACAGTCTATGGAATTTGTATTCCAATTCCTTATTTTGTATTCCATAGCTATGTTCTTGCTTTTCAAGTTTGCCATAAAAAGTTGTTGTTAGAATCACTACTCACTAGACCCTGTAACTAATAAGGCTGGTATGATATTTTAGTTCACCGCATTTAATTGTGTATTATAGTAGTCAAAGAAGCCAAACAATGACTGCCTAAGTTTAATCACTCTACCCCTAATACAATTTTTATAATCTGATTCTGATTGCGATTTATCTATCGATATTTATAGCATATTCTTCCAATGCAGCGTCTTATGGATCTCACATAGACGTTAGCATCATTAATTGTTACTTTAGTGTTAATACTGAATTTTTTAGAGGTTAATGATCATTTGAGTCGTCGGTTAATTATGTTAGAAACCCAACAACCACTACAGCTAATAGTGACAGGCTATATTCATTTGTCATGTCCTGTATTGCTTTCTTCATCTCATCAATTAATTAAGTTTTTTGATCGATTGTTTATCTTATAATTGTAAGTTAGTTCGTTAATTATTTGTAGATATCGATAGCGAAGTTGTATGGAGACAGGACTAAAAAAATTAATGAATTAATTGGTAAATTAAGGTAAAATTAATTCACTGAACCAGAAACGATAAGACCAATTTACTAAACCTT